TTCTTCAAGTTCCAGGCAGGCCACAGAGAGATAAAGAAAATTGTGTCAACGTGCAAGGTGATGAGTTGGCTCTCAGCCTCAACCTCCAAGTACCTCCTTAAGCCACAGAGAGAAACTTGTTCGTCTACTCTCAGAAAACTCCCACACAACCCAACCCAACCCAACACAAGGTGAGGGGAACAGGAATAGCCTCCAAAAACTTATTTTCTGGGACTCTGTTCCCAGCCTTGGACTCAGCAGATAAGACCTCTGCGTGTGGTGGGACCTCTCTTCCTGCAGTTTCACCAGACGCCGGCACAAAGAAGGAACAGTAAGTATCTCAACAACTAGACCTTCTCACTGGATCCCCAAATCTTTGCAAAATATTTACTTTAGAGAAAGGATCCCTGTTTTCCTGTACCTAATTTAAAGTAAGCCAGTGAAGGAAGAAATTTGCTAAATGTTTGAAGGACGTTTTTGTTATTGCTTCAAATGTTTTGGGGCTGACTCTGCACTGAAGCCCTGGGACTCCTTTGTATGATGTCACCCCTGAGAAACAGACCTGGGTTTGTTAATCCAGTATTGCCTACTTTCTTATTAGTTACAGCAATTCAAGAGAGGGACCAATGGCCCAGAGGGGTGAGTGGATGAAGTCCCTTGAATTGGAGGTATTCAGCTGGTGGTCGGGGGTGTTTAAATTCCTGCCCTGAGAAGCGGTTGTACCTGATGGACTCTAGATCCCCATCCAACATGAGGGTTCTAGGTTCCAGCTGGTCATTGCATCTAAAAAGCCAACTCCGAAGACTTGACTAACTCAGAAGATTAACTGTTTTTTGGTTGTCGGTCGAGATAGAGCAGAGAAGTTTCTGTGGCTTCCTGCAGATATGGTAGCCTCGGCTACCTGCCGCATAGCTCAATCTACAGATTGCATTTGATATAGTGCAACTGAGCTCCAGGGGTATAAACATTAGAACCGAGGCATTCTGTCTCAACATGCCAACAATTGGCCCATTCTCCCGGCACTGTTATTTTTTTCCGCTCTCTCTCTCTCTCTTGCGGAATCGAAAAGCAAATAAAGTTGGCCAAAAGCAAATAAATTGACCTTTGCATCATGTTAGCCAGTCGGTCTAATTTAGAATCTGTCACAATAACTTTTTTTCACCTGCCGTCGTGAATAAACAGAACTGCTGGATCAAACCCAGGGATCAAACCCAGAGCGAGAGTGCCGGGCTAATGGGCAGAGCTGGCTCTCCCCAAGGAAGGGCCTGACTTCGCTCTCCTTTTCGTCGCGCAGATCCACGCGCTGGGCAGACGAGGCAGCTGGCAGCCAGGGCGAGCAGCAGCGATGGAGCCTAGCGGTACCAGCCCAACGTCTCCCCCCTCCAACAGCTGGACTGCCTTCCCCCAGCAGACCCTGGAGGCCGTTGATATTGTTGTCCTGGTTTTGTACTTCGTCTTTGTTTTGGCTGTGGGCCTCTGGGTAAGGAAAGGAGGGCTGCCCCTCGGGCATCGGATGGGCAAGCGAAGCTGAAGGCTCCGCTGGACTCTGCAAGTGTTTTTTAGGGAGAGCTTCCAAATGTAATCATTAGTTCTCCTTAGGAGCCACGGCGGGGGAGAGGGGGGGTGAGGGTCTTTCTGGTGACACAGCATCCGATATTTCAGTCTGTTTTTATTATTCATAAATTCAGCTGATATCCAAAAGCAAACACTCCTGTCTAAGACCCGACCCAGCTGTGTCTTCTAACAACAGTCACGGCAACCTTTTCGTGGGAATAGAATAGAATAGAATAGAATAGAATAGAATAGAATAGAATAGAATAGAAGAGAAGAGAAGAGAAGAGAAGAGAAGAGAAGAGAAGAGAAGAGAAGAGAAGAGACCTTGGAGGTCTTCTAGTCCAACCCTCTGCTCAAGCCAGAAACCCTATACCATTTCAAACAAATGGTTGTCCAATCTCCTCTTAAAAACCCTCCAGTGCTGGAACATTCACAACTTCTGGAGGCAAGTTATTCCACTGATTAATTGTTCTCACTGTCAGGAAACTCCTCCTTAATTCTAGGTTGCTTCTCTCCTCGATTAGTTTCCATCCGTTGTTTCTTGTCTTCCGGTGCTTTGGGAAAATAGCACCCCCCCCCAATTCTTCTTTGTGGCAGCCCCTCAAATACTGTAGTACTGCTATCATGTCATCCCTGGTCCTTCTTTTCTCTCAACTGGCAGTACCCAAATCCTGCAACTGTTTCTTTGCCCTTCCTCGGCTATGCAGCCCTGCGGTGGGCAGTGGCATCGTAAAATCACCTAAACCGGGGATTTTCCAGTGGATGACTGTGTTTGGGGAGGCTGTTGTTTTAAAGGTTATTGAGTGGCTGTAGATTGAACAAATCCAAGGTTCATTGCCTTCTTTTGCTTTTTGCTGCTAAATCTTTGCTAGCAAATCCCCTGAGACGTGAAGGAGGATCCAGCAGCTAGAAACCACTCATCTTTAAGGGCTGTGTGTGTGTGTGTGTCTCTCTCTGTGTGTGTGTGTGTGTGTGTGTGTGTGTGTGGTTTAGAGTCAGTGTTAACTCCTGGTAACTGCCTGGACCTCAGTAGAGCTCCAAACCCATCCTTTTATTAAAGGCCAGTTCTGGATGCCTTTTTTTTTTTTTTTCTCCCCAACTCAGGGCTTTTGTGGATAGTAGCTGCAACTGCGGCTGCCAGCTTGACTTCTTTGACCTCCCCAGAGAAGCCTCAGTTCCTACTCCTCAATTGGGGGAACAAATCTAGCTTTGCTCTGGAGCTGTTGTTGACATTGAGCAGAGGCAACGTTCCGGACACAGAGATGGGCCAAGGCAGGACACAACTGAAGTGCAAATTAATTGATCTCAATTCTCAGTCAAATAAACGGAGTGTAATTCATTGGATTGCTCTCCATGTGCTTAGCGGTCTTCCTCTTCGGTCCCTTTTAGTGCCAGCTCTGGGGCCAAAGTCCTCTGGGGCCATCTAGGTCTGCAGGAGAGCTGTGCGTCCTGGGGTGTCCCTCCCTCTTCTAAATGCTCACCTGAGGTGGCTCTTTTTTTGGAGCAGAGGATGGTGGACAAACTTCCTGTAGAAGCTGGCAGCAGCTCAGGGATTAGATCTGTGGTTTGTTCCTGTTCTGAAGAGCACATCACAACAGCTGCTGTTCTTCTGGATCAGGCCAAGAATAAAGAGCAGCTTAACCTGTATTATTTATTTAAATTATTATTTAAATTTATTATTATTATTATTATTTAAATTTATATACCGCCCTATCTCCCTTACGGGACTCAGGGCGGTGAACAGGCAATAATAAAAATCACAGTAAATATTACATAAAAGCCTGCTCTAAAATATAAAACCCCTAACAAAACCCAATTAAAACTACACCAGGCTGGCCGCATGGAATAGATGGGTTTTCAAGGCTCGGCGAAAGAGGCGCAGGTCCGCAATTGTACATAGGTCGGGGGGTAGGTCATTCCAGAGGGCAGGAGCTGCCACAGAGAAGGCTCTCCCCCTGGGGGTTGCCAGCCGGCATTGACTGGCCAACGGTACCCTAAGGAGGCCCTCTCTGTGGGAGCGGACTGGTCGAAGGGAGATATTTGGTAGGAGGCTGTGGGATGGCGGTCTTGCAAATACCTAGATCCAGTCCATTGTGACTGGAATTACCCAAATTCCACAAAAAATCTATCCCTTTAAGCAAAATACCTTCTGTAAATGCATTAGTGTCCCACTTCACAAGTTTTGTGGCCAGATCCTGGGTCAAGCAAAGGCTTTTCCCATCCCACATGGTTTGCAGAGGTTAACGTTTGCTAAACATGTCACAATTCCTGCTATGAAAGGCGGGCTTTGTCGTTCTTGTGGCATTGTTCATCGTCTGACGAGCCTTGTAGTTCAACTGTAGATGTTGCCGAGTTATGTGAGATAGGATCCTTGCCCTTGATCAATGGAATCCAGGAACTCTTTCTTTTCTCCTGGCACCCTCTGCCAGGTCAGAGTGCCACCCACTTGGCCTGGAGCCTGTGCAAAGCCAACAGTCGGATTAGCACATAGTTTCATGGCTCCCGGCTCACTTGTTTGCACAACAGGCCAAGTCAAGGCTACTCTCTTCAGGCTCTGCTAGGCTGCCAACTTCATGGCACTTGGGTACACAGCTGGCCTACCAAGTGGGCTGCATCCTGCTTCAGGTGTATTCTAAGGGATTCCCCTTCCAAAGAACCCTACCTGTCTCTGCAAGGAAACCTGCAGAATGCCAGGTGCCCCTCCCTATCCGAAGCATCCTCTCAGCTGTGGCCTTGTGGCCCATCTTGGCCCAACATCTGAGGCAAACTGGTTCTTTGATGGGTGCTTTCCCATGAATTATAATCACCTGTTTCAACACTGGATACTGTGCTTGACATGGAAACTAATCAAGGAGAGAAGCAACCTGGAACTAAGGAGAAATTTCCTGACAGAACAATTAATCATTGGAATAACTTCAGGAGCAGTGAATGCTCCAACACTGGAAGGTTTTAAGAAGAGATTGGACAACCATTTGTCTGAAATGGTATAGGGTTTCCTGCCTGAGCAGGGGGTTGGACTAGAAGACCTCCAAAGTCCCTTCCAACTATTCTATTCTATTCTATTCTATTCTATTCTATTCTATTCTATTCTATTCTATTCTATTCTATTCCAATTTTCTATTAGTCTATCCTCTCCTTATTCTATTCTATTCTATTCTATTCTATTCTATTCTATTCTATTCTATTCTATTCTATTCTATTCTATTCTATTCTATTCTATTGGAAATACTCAAGCAGCAAGCTGAAGGTCTAAAACAGGTTCTTCCCTTGATTGAGGGAAGGCATTCTTCCTCTTTTGTGTCTCTTTCAAGATCCCAAAACAGGAAGCCCCAGGAATTATCCCAGAGTGAAATGGGACCCTTTCCATATTCACTCCTACTTGCCTGTTTTTTATGGGTGGGGGAATTGTAGTTTATGGAACCTTTCATATTCTCAGCAAATAAACTCATTCTCTTTTAATATTTCAGTCAATGTGGAAGACAAAACGAAGCACCGTTAAGGGTTACTTCCTAGCTGGGGGCGAGATGGTCTGGTGGCCGGTAGGATATCTCCAATTTCAGCTTGTCTAAAATGTTTTGCTTGGTGAGAGATTTGGGGAGGGGAATTACACAAAACATTTTGTGCCTTCCAGTCAGTCTTTTGCTGAGGCCCCTGCCTGGACTAGTTGCTGAAGTTTTCTTGGCAACATTTTCAGAAATGGTTGCCTATCATTGTCTTCTTCTGCCTAGGGCCAAGAGACTGGCCCAAGGTCACCTAGCTGAGACAGGACTAGAACTCACCATCTCCCAGTTTCTAGCCTGCTACCTTCACCACTACAACAAAGTGACTCCTGATACAAAAGATAGAGATGTCCTTTCGTTCCCTGTTTCCTCTACTTTGAAAAGGTGGTTCAAGCCACCGAGAACCTCCTTCCACACCCAGACCTAAGTCTGAAGGAGCTGGACAAGCCTCTCTTGTTGATAGACCAGATGTTGCCAAAGGCCAGGTTGTCTGAACGTATACAAACCAGGAAGAGCAATGAGAGTGTCCGCTTCTCTAGCAGGGGTCTCCAAACCTGGCAACTTTAAGACTTGAGACTTGAATTCTGGGAGTTGAAATCCACAAGTCTTAAACCCAAAGGTGCTTTTTCAGGAGGCCACTGGACTTCCTTGTTTTTCTTTGAAGACGCTTCGCTTCTCATCCAAGAAGCTTCTTCAGCTCTGACTACTAGATGGTGGGAAGTGGAGGGATTTATATTGCTTGCTGGTCATTTGCAGCTTTTTAGAGAATCGTTGGGGCCATTTGCCTGCGCCTGCCTTCAACAGTGAAGGGACACAGGACAAAACATCCTGCAGCCAAGAAGGCTCCACACCCATTTGCACCACTCAGGGGATCCTGAGGACACAGACAAGCCTTCAAGTGGCCTCAATGACATCCTAAAAGGATGCAAATGACCAGCTGACTGAAAGAAGTATAAATCCTTCCCTTCCCCACCATCCAGCCAGAGCTGAAGAAGCTTCTTGGATGAGAAGTGAAATGTCTTCAAGGAAAAACCAGAAAGTCCAGTTGCCTCTTGAAAAAGCACCTTTGGGACAACCAAGACCTGGATGACTGAGAATCTCCATAGACATTGGTCCTGGAGGATAGGGATAGAGGTAGACCGATCCCCACGTGGCCTGGAACACGGCTCTGTTGTTTTTCTTTGAGAAAACCCAAACAGATTTGACTCCACCAATTTGAGCTTGTGGCCTTTTTAAAGACCCCCGTGACCTGGATGACTGAGAATCTCCATAGATACAAGTCTTAAAGTTGCCAAGTTTGGATACCCTGGTCCTATAGCAGTGGTGGCGAACCTATTGGCACGGGTGCCAGAGGTGGCACTCGGAGCCCTCTCTGTGGGCACACGTGCCGTTGGCCCAGCCTCACCTCCCCCCGTGACCCCCTCCTCTCCAGCAGCCCCCCTGAAGGAGAGTTGCCCCTGAGTGTGGCCCACGCGGAGCAGCGCAGCCAAGGACATGGCAGCCAGGCAGCGTAGACAAGACTCTGCCCTCACACCCCATCATGCACAGTTGATGCTGCAGGGCGCGGGCAGAGGGCGTGACCGCCATAGGCGCTGGTGGGCTGCCTGGGCAATCTGTGGCGGGCCCTGGAGACGGTGAGTGGCCCTGCGGGCAGGCGGCACAGTGGATGGGGGGGCGGAGTGGGGGCAGGGCAGGGGGTGGAGCGGGGGCGGGGCCAGGTTTTGGGCACTCGGTCTCTAAAAGGTTTGCCATCCCTGTCCTATAGTGTCAAGAGAAGCATCCCAAAGGAGAAACTGGGTCTTGGGTCAGGACAAGTGATCCAGAAACCCTTCAACCCTCTCCACGCAATGACAGGCTTTGCACTCAAGGCAGGTTTAGAAGGTGCCTGAGATTCCCACCCAGCTGATCCCTGGCTTCTTTTCACAGGTGGGGGCCTCCCTGTTTGCCAGTAATGTTGGCAGCGGGCATTTCATTGGCTTGGCTGGCTCTGGTGCGGCCTCTGGAATTGCTGCCACGGCCTACGAATGGAATGTGAGTATTGCTTTTATGGTCCCTTTTGTGCTGGCTGGCGAAGGGCAAGGGGCAAGGTCTTCCTCCAATCTGCGGGCCCATCTCTCTATCTCCTGGGCCTGATTCGGCTAATTAAAGAGTAGCAGACTTTTCCAGGAGCTGTTTAAAGAGGTCAGCAAAAGAGTTGTGTCTTTTGTGCAAAGGGCTGACTCTCCTTTCTCTTCAGCTCTGGTGCCTGGCTGGATGCTTCTTGGATTGAGTCAGCTTTTGCACACCTGGAATATAAAGACATCCAAGTAAATGGAACACTGAAACAGAATAACAAGAGTTGGAAAGGACCTTGGAGGTCTTCTAGTCTGACCCACTGCTGAAACAGGAGAGTCTACACCATTCCAGAGAAATGGGTGTTCAATCTCTTCTTGAAAGCCTCCAGTGATGGAGCGCCCACAGTTTCTGAAAGCAAGCCGTTCCACTGGTTGATTGTTCTCACTGTCAGGAAATTTCTCCTTCGTTCTAGGTTGCTTCTCTCCTTGATTAGCTTCCATCTGTTGCTTTTTGTCCTGCCTTCAGGTGCTTCGGAGAATAGGTTGACTCCTTCTTTGCGGCAACCCCTGAGATATTGGAAGACTGCTATCATGTCGCCCCTAATCCTTCTTTTCATTAAACTAGACCAGGGGTAGGCAACTTTTATGGCTCGTGGACTTCAACTCCCAGAATTCCTGAGCCAGCCATGCTGAGGGGAAAGGGAGAGGTTTCCAAGCTGAGCCATGCCGGCTCAGGAATTCTGGGAGTTGAAGTCCACGAGTCATAAAAGAGCCAAAGTTGCCTACCTCTGGTGTAGGGTCTCCTGCTTGGGTCAAAGGTTGGACTAGAAGACCTCCCAGGTCCCTTCCAACTCTGTTATTCTGTTATTCTGACTTAGTCACACCTGGAGAGCTTGCAGGCCTATCCCAGCAGGGCCTGGTTTGCTAATCCAGTTGAGCTTTTGGGACTCTATCACCTGAGTCACCTTTGGCTCCCTTTTCAAATCCTCCTAAAATGCACCAGATTGATTGGCGGGGGCTGCCAGAAGTCTACAGCTGGAGACGTAAAATGAAGCTGAATTTGCTTGTGGAGACCCTCGGCCACCAACTGTTGGCCTGCCCTGCCAACGGAGAGTGGGTGAGGTGCCCCGTAGATCTTCAGGTTTTTGAGGGGAGGGGGCTTCCGCTTTTCTAACGGCTCTGTGGTCTCTCCTAGGGGATGTTTTGTGTCCTGGTGCTGGCATGGCTGTTTGTTCCCATCTATCTTGCAAGTGAGGTGAGTAAGTCAGCACCCAGAACGCCTCCTCTGCTCTCCCAGAGAGCCGAGTCCTTCTTGATCCTGCCTGCTTTCTTCCACCTTTACCTTCACCTGAGAAGGGCCACGTGCAACCCGGCAATATGGCAGAGCCTCTGGGAATTTGCTCCCCGTCCAAAGGGGTTAGAAATGCCTTCCTTCCTTTCTTAAAGCGCTTTGAGCAAGGCCGTCTCTCTGTTGCACACATCTGAAAGCATCCCTGGGTCTCAGCGTCTTTAGAGGCCTCCAAGGTGGCTTATATCTCATAACATCCTATTTCAAGATGCTCATGCAGGCAATGGAGGGCAGGTGGAGCTGCAGCAGTCATAAATGTGAAAAAATGTCAAAAGTCACTTTTTTCAGTGCCGTTGTAACTTTGAACGGTCCCTAAAGGAACTGTTGCAAGTCGAGGACTTTCTGTAATTATTTTAATCAATTTATTTGGCCATCCACTTGCCAGAGTGACTCTGGGCAGCTAGCAAGAGATTAAAAGCCAAGCCAAATAGCAATAACACTTAGACTTATATACCACGTCACAGTGCTTTTCAGCCCCCTCAAAGTGGTTTACAGTGTCAGCCTATTGCCGCCAGCAATCTGCATCCTCCTTTTACCGACCTGGAAAGGCTGGAAGGCTGAGTCAATCTTGAGCCGGTCAGGATTGAACTCCTGGCAGTGGACAGAGTTTGCCTGCAATACTGCTTTCTAACCACTGCACCACCATGGCTCTTAGTAGAGGCTAAAGAAGTCTTTAGTAGGCTTGTAGTAGGGCAGTGGTGGCGAACCTATGGCACGGGTGCCAGAGGTGGCACTTAGAGCCNCAACAACCTTCGCCATAAAGCGAAGGTTGGAGACCGGGCGATAGTTAGCCAACTCATCTGGGTTCAGGGAAGGCTTTTTGAGGAGGGGCCTCACAACGGCCTCCTTAAGGGCCGCGGGGAAGACACCCTCCTGCAAAGAAGCGTTCACAATTCCCTGGAACCAGGCTCGTGTACCCTCCCGAGCTGCCAGTACCAGCCATGCAGGCAATGGAGGGCAGGTGGAGCTGCAGCAGTCATAAATGTGAAAAAATGTCAAAAGTCACTTTTTTTCAGTGCCGTTGTAACTTTGAACGGTCCCTAAAGCAACTGTTGCAAGTCGAGGACTTTCTGTAATTATTTTAATCAATTTATTTGGCCATCCACTTGCCAGAGTGACTCTGGGCAGCTAGCAAGAGATTAAAAGCCAAGCCAAATAGCAATAACACTTAGACTTATATACCACGTCACAGTGCTTTTCAGCCCCCTCAAAGCGGTTTACAGTGTCAGCCTATTGCCGCCAGCAATCTGCGTCCTCCTTTTACCGACCTGGAAAGGCTGGAAGGCTGAGTCAATCTTGAGCCGGTCAGGATTGAACTCCTGGCAGTGGGCAGAGGTTGCCTGCAATACTGCTTTCTAACCACTGCACCACCATGGCTCTTAGCAGAGGCTAAAGAAGTCTTTAGTAGGCTTGTAGTAGGGCAGTGGTGGCGAACCTATGGCATGGGTGCCAGAGGCGGCACTTAGAGCCTTCTCTGTGGGCACGCACACCATTGCCCCAGCCTCGCTACCTCCTGTGGGCCCCTCCTCACCAGCAGTCCCCCCCGGAGGAGACTTGCCCCGGGCGCAGCCTGCGCAGAGCAGAGCAGCCAAGGACAAGGCAGCCGGGCAGCGGGGACAAGGCTCCGCCCTTGTGCCCCATCGCTTACAGATGATGCTGTGGGGTGCAGACAGAGGGCGTGGCCGCCATGACCCTGCTGGGCCGCCTGGGCGATCTGCTGTGATGGGCCATGGAATTGGTGGGTGGCCCTGCAGGCAGGAGAGGCGGGGGTGGGACAGGGATGAGGTGCTTTTTGGGCACTCAGTCTCTAAAAGTTTCGCCATCACTGTAGTAGGGGGTAAAAGGATCTTTAGCAGGCTCTCTCTAGGGCAGCGGTTCTCAACCTATGGGTCGCGACCCCATTTGGGGTCGATCGACCATTTCACGGGGGTCGCCAAGCAAGGCTGTCCGCCATTTTTTTCCCCCTTTTCCGGTGGGTGCATTACCTCCCTTGGGCTGGGCCAACTGGTGGTCAGCCTGCTCCGTCTCTGCCGCTTGCCAGCTACGCCTCGGCCGGCGCAGGGGGCGGAACCACGCATGCGCAGCGCTCCCGGGCAGGGAAAGTCCTCGACTTACGACCGGTTGGGTAGTCCTCGACTTACGACCGGTTTAGTCCTCGACTTACGACCGGTTTAGTCCTCGACTTATGACCGGTTGGGGGTCACGGCATTAAAAAGGTTGAGAATCACTGCTCTAGGGGCTAAAGGGGTCTTCTGTTGCTGGGGAAGTTGCAGATTTGAGAGGTGAAGGGTGAGGGCTGTGAAATCGTTCATCTCCCAGACGGCTTTGCGTAAATTCCAGCAATCACCAAAACATCAAGGCTTTTGTTTGGTAAAGACTTCCTCTTTTTCGTCTCTCCCAGGTTACAACCATGCCAGAGTATTTGCAGAGACGGTTTGGTGGCAAAAGGATTCAGATCTTCCTTGCAATTCTCTACTTGTTTATCTATATATTCACCAAAATTTCAGTAAGTAAGGAGACGAGAGGAGACAGAACAGAACTGGCTTGGAAAGAGTAGGTCAACATAGGCTTCATAAGTGACTTTTGATGTTTCTCGTGCATTGTGGCAGCCGTAGAGCGGCAAACCAACAGATACAGGAGGGAACTGGGGAGATGCTGCGTTTGGGATCCAAAGTCTAAAAGGCGAGCAGGGCCAATGTGGGCATGGAAGCCGCATCTGTGGGCAGCCTTTTTCCGAAGACGCATGTCTTCCCTCGGCTCACTCCGCAGCCTCACTGTCCTCGGGAATGCGCCTGTGAGTTAAGGAAATGTCCGCTGGTGCCCAAGGGGCTTCAGGATACGAAAGGAATCTAGGATTTGGATCACAGATCCATTCCTGAAAGTTTGCAGGCCGGGCAGAATCTCTCATAACATTTCCACCAAGAATTGTTTTCCAAGAGTTCTAAAACTGACTCTGGAGACGATGCTGGGAGAAGCTCTAAGAACGCTCATATTCACACCGTTACTTTGGTCGGCTTGTGTAGTAGCATCATACAACCATTCAAGAAAAAAAATGGATTAAAAACGTTGCTCTAAAATAGAATCACAAAGCGTTGGAGTTAAAGCTTTTAATATTAAGGAGATGTCCAAATTTGTGGGCTTGAGTCCAGAATCTCCCTCCTTATCTGATTTGTTTGTTGCTGATTTTCTAGTGCTGGTTTCCATCTATTTGTTTTGTTCTTAACTGAAAATTTATTTCCCAGATAGAGATGTTAAAGGAAATGCCCACACCAATGGAACGTGTTGTGTGTGTGGACAGGCGGGCACAGAAGATGCCCAGTCCTATCGTCTAGTCATTGACTTTTGTGTTTGACTACTCACATTTAATGAGTAACTGGCTAACCTTTTGCTCCAGTCACTTATTAACCACAGAAGACACTCAATCCCATCAAGAGAAAGATGCTACTTCAGCTGGGTTGGGTATGAATCACAACATTTGGTTTCTAACCAAAATGTTACAACTTCTGTCCAAGTTTTAAACTCTGATAGTTAAGAGGATGCAGTCTTTTCAAACTGGGCTTTCAATTCAATTCAGAATAGAGCTGGAAGGGACCTTGAAGGTCTTCTAGTCCAACCCCCTGCTCCAGCAGGAGACCCTAACCATTTCAGACAGTCTCTTTTTAAAAATCTCCAGTGATGGAGCACCCACAACTTCTGGAAGCAAGTTGTTCCACTGGTTATTAATTAAGTTTCTCCTTAATTCCCAGTTGCTTCTCTCCTTGATTAGTTTCCATCCATTGTTTCTTGTCCTGCTTTCTGGTGCTTTGGAAAATAAGTTGACCCCCTCTTCTTTGCAGATACTGGAACACTGCTGTCATGTCACCCCTAATTCTTCTTTTCTCTAGACTGGCCATACACAGTTCCTGCAGTCGTTCTTCATATGTTTTAGTCTCCAGGCCCGTAATCATCTTAGTTGCTCTTCTCTGCACTTTCCCCCCCCAAAGTCTCAACATCCTTTTTGTAATGTGGTGACCAAAACTGGTCACCACATTACAAAAAAGAGTAAATAACTACAAACCCCTGTAAGAGGAGAGCTGTGTTACTCTAGGGCGGCAAAAGATTTTCACCCACAAAATCAGGGTTGTTACATTCACCTCAAATCTGTGCCAAAGTTGTGAACCGCTTTTTACCAGTTCTGTTTGACTAAGTTTGTACATTGCTCAATGGCAGCTGCCATGTCCTTAAATGGTTCTCTTCAACAGCTTTGCTTCACTGTGACTACATTTTTCTAGTCCCATAGTTAAGAGTTTAAGACATTTCTAATCAGCTTCAAAGGAAACCTCTAAAAACATCTAGCCTTATTCTGTTCACCCAAACAATGACAATATTTTGTGCCAGTTATGTACCATTGAATTGCACCCACACACATTCTTAGTCCCAGCTTGAAAATAATGGGACACTGAATAAGTGGAAGTTTTTTCTTGCAATTTATTGTTTGCAACTCATGTACCAAGGAATCTCAACAATTTTTTTTAACTTTCTATGTAAATTTATCTTAGTTGTGATGTAAAAGGGAAAAAAACAAGTTCAAATGCTTAAGCCACTTCTAAATGCACCAGTACAGAAATATCTTTTAGTTTTGGTAACAATAGCCATCAATTCAGTAGTCTTAAAAAGCTTAATAGGAACTGTGGGCGGCAGAGTGGCTCGGGGGTTAGAGTGCTGGGCTTGTTGGCTGGAGAGCAGCAGCCCGGGTTCAAGACCTGAGCGCCTCGTGACGGGTGAGCTTCCACCCTCAGCTCACCGTCTGGCAACCTAACAGCTTGAAAGCATGCAAATGCAAGTAGGTACCATGTTTTCCCAAAAGTAAGACCTACCCAGAAGATAAGCCCCAGCTTGATTTTTGGGGGTAGGCCTAATATAAGCCCTCCCCCCCAAAATGAGCCCTAGTTTTGGGGTGAGGCGCACGCCTAAAAATTAAGCTAGGGCGGGGGTGGAGGAGTGGAGCTGCCCCATGTGCCCCCCACCCGCTCACCAGGCCTCCCATTAATTGACACCTGCCTCTCCTCGCCGGCCCACTTCTTCTGCAGCGCCCCCCAGCCTGCATTTCACCGTCAGAGGCCCTTCCGGCCTGAGAGCTCCATTCTCAGCTGCAGAGTGCAGCTGCTCCTTCGGCCGCAGAAGACGTGGGCCGGCTGGGCGGGGCTGTCGGTGCCGCTGCAACGAGGTGAGTGGAAAAGAACACCCACCCCCTGAAAATGAGACACGATGCCTCTTTTGGAGGCAATTTTATTTTAAAAAAAAGACCGGGTCTTATTTTCAGGGAAACGCGGTAAATGGGTGCCACTTGGGTGGGAAGGGAACAGTGGTCCGTGACATCATGCTGGCCACAGGACCACAGAAATGTCTTTGGACAGTGCTGGCTTAGTGGCCTCGAAACGGAGATGAGCAGCGCCCTGTAGAGTCGGCAACGACTAGCGGAGTAAAATCCGCAGGGACTACCTTTAATACCTTGAAAAGAGTATTTGCAAATATAAAGTGTGTTTGGACGTTTAGCTTTATACAGGTAATCCTCGACTTATAACCGTTTGTTTAGCGGCCGTTCAAAGTTACAACGGCACTGAAGAATGCGCCTTATGACCGTTTTTCACAGTTACGACCTTTGCAGCACCTCCACGGTTCACCTGATCAGAATTAAAATGCTTGGCAACTGCCTCTATTTCTGAAGGTTGCTGTGTCCCAAGATCATGTGAGTCCCTTGTGTGACCTTCTGGAGAAGCCAGATTCACTTAACAACCGGGTTACTAACTGCAGTGAGTCGCTTAACAACTGTGGCAAGAAAAGTTGTAAAATGGGGCAAAACTCACTTAACAAATGTCTCAGAAATTTTGGGCTCAATTATGGCCGTAAGTCAAGGACTACCTGTAATTTGCAGAAAAAGAGAAGGGGGCTATCTCAATCAATAGTTCAAATATTGACCAGCCAATTAATAATTACTGTGCTTGAAACAAAGGTCAGACATAATACCCGTTTAGACAATAATTGAGAAGGGTAATTAGTTAGGCTTTAAGCCCAAGGCCTGGGCCAGGTAATTCTTCCTAATCCAGCTCTTAGGGCATGACCAGAGAAAATCGGAGAAAATTGCCATTAAAGTTTGCATACAGGAAACGGGCATCACCTTTCAGCAACACGATGCTCATGGTAGGATTGAGGCAGGACAAGAAGCAACGGGTGGAAATTCACAAGAGGGAAATCCAACCTAGAAATAAGGAGGAATTTCCTGACAATGACAGCAGTTAATCAATGGAACAACTTGCCTCCTGGAGTTGTGGGTGTTCCATCACTGGAGGTCTTCAAGAAAAGATTGGACATTCATTTCTTTGGGATGCAATAAGATTTCCTGCCTTGGGCAGGAGTTTGGATTAGAAGACTTTGAAGGTCACTTCAGCCCTAGGATTCCAAGAGAGGCTACTATCTATCTACATACCCAAATGCAACCATTAATGTAGGGCAGGGGTAGGCAACCTTGGCTCTTTTATAACTCATGGACTTCAACTCCCAGAATTCCTGAGCCAGCCATACTGGCTCAGGAATTCTGGGAGTTGAAGTCCACGAGTCATAAAAGAGCCAAGGTTGCCTACCCCTGGTGTAGGGGATACAACACAACATTTGGCCAACTGTCTTCTAATTTGAGTCAGCCCAGACAAGATGGTTATTGAGATTGCAATGTTAAATGTTTCTCTCTCCTCCAGGTTGACATGTATGCTGGGGCTCTCTTCATCCAACAGGCCCTGCACTGGGACCTCTACATAGCGGTCACCGGTTTGCTGGTCATCACTGCAATTTACACTGTGGCAGGTAGATGCTAACGCTGTAAGAGTGGATCTTTTTGCAGTTATTTCTGGACTATGAGCTCCAGGGAAGGAGTTTAGGAGAATAGCTGGGATTGTTTGGCTGTTCTATCATCCAGCTTCAGGCAGTTGCGGTTTGACCAACGTGTATGGAGAGAAAGCATGTTTCCTTAGAAGATTTAGCAGCCTGTGGAAGTCTACACGATGAATATGTAGCATGTGGTTAGGTAACTCACCCTAATTTACCTGGAACATTGGTTAAATTCTGCTTTGTGACCACCAAGTACTTCTTGGGGCTTCAGGTGCCGCCTGACTTTTGTTGCTTTTTCTGAGACCTCATTTTGCCCCACTGCCAACTAAAAAAATATAGTGAGGGGGTAGCATTTGCAAATAAGTAAACTATTACTCACATTGCATGCTTTGTAAAAATAACTTGGGTACACAGAAGTGCTTTGCAAGAAAGAAAATATTAGATATGTTGGCCTACAGAGAAGGAACAGCTTGAAATTTCCAAAGCAAAGATTATCACGTCCTGGCTTTCTTTAGAAAATCTCACCCCTTTTCATCTTCCTTTGCTTTGAACTTCAGTTAAATAATGTTCTCAAAGTTTCCTTTTTTTAACTCCTTTTGAAATAAGTTAAAAAGACGTGGCATTCAGCTGCAGACTTTTGTATATTGCCCAGGGAACTACTTGTTAGCAAGGAAGAAATCAAACCACATGGAGAAAGGCAAGCGAACAGCCAGTCATGATCTATTGCTAGACCACCAGTTGGCTTGATGGGAAGGGCAGACGCTCCTTTCTTGACAGGTTGACAGCTGCATCTGCTCCCCAAGACCCCAAAAGTTGTTTGAAGAGGACAGCGAGAGTTAAATCAGGTCCCCACTGAAAGCTGATGTGGATCCCAGAAAGCTCTCTCCCTCCCTCCTCCCTCCCTCCCTCCTCCTCCCTCCCTCTCCCACTTTCTCTCTCTCTCTCTCTCCCTCCCTCCCTTTCTCTCTCTCTCTCCCCCTCTCTCCCTCCCTCCCTCCTCCCTCTCTCTCTTTCTCTCTCTCTCCCTCCCTCCCCCCTCTCTCCCTCCCTCTCTCTCTTTCTCTCTCTCTCTCTCTCTCTCACACACACACACACACACATATTCCACTCTATGCAAAAGGCCATAAAATTGTCTGATAACTTTACTAGATTGTTTAAACTAGAAATACAAAAACTAACCGTTCAGATAGGAAAGAAAAAAAAAGAAAGAGCAAAGCCAAAAGTGCTGAAAGAAGAGAAAAAGACAGAGAAATTATTTTTGATTGTCTTTTATAACAGATAGAAGCATGAATTTAAATTGACCTCTTGCTCTAAAGTTACATCAGTTTCATTTTTCTTCTAATCTACTGGGTTTTTTTTTTCTAATCATCAAACACACTTGCCACAATTTTATTTATTTTTTCCTGTTTCCCGGCGAAGGGTTTTCCAGCCAGCATTCATATGAATCGGTGTCTTTTCTCTAATCAAAAGGTCAATTTTGCCATCTCAGCCAGCATCGTAAAATTGTTTCTTCTCTTTCCAAAATGACTGCTTTCCAACTGGCACATAATCCCTGTCGGGAAAGTCTTGTTATATTAAAAATAGCAAAACCAAACGTAGGCTAGGTACTTGGGATGCAAATAATCAGGTGCATGGTATTTTTTACTTGGATTTCTAGTTAAAAATGCCAACAGCAAACCTTCCAAGAAGTCTCCCAATATTTAATCACACCTGCATTAAAACAGCAATTTTCTGATAGGTATAAAATTAACTTTAGCTACCGAAAGTCACTTTAAATTTTTTTTTTTTTAAAACAACAAAACATAACACACATACACACACAGTATATAGTCCTCCTTTTTTTTTTAACAGCAATTTCGTAACGGTAATCTATTATTTACATTTCCCCCCCTTATTCTTCTTTAGATATATTTGTCCTTGTTGTCCCGTTGTTTCTTGTTTGTATTTTTCTTCCTTCATACTATACTTCATACTAAAAATAATACATATTATTATTACTATACATTATTATACGCACATTTTCCATTTTTAACCTTTCCACTTTTATTCTCATTTATTATTTCTAATCTCCAACCAGTCATACCACTTGTTCCATATTAGATAGTACTCTGTGTCTTCCTTTTCTTTTTATCTCTTTTGTTAATTTGTCCATCTCAGCACAGTCCAGGATTTTTCTTATCACTTCTTCCTCTGATGGTATATTCTCATTTTTCCAGAACTGTGCAGCTACCGAAAGTCACTTGATAGTGAGAGGGGTAACTTGCAAATTCAACAAATAAAGTAATAATAAACCTTCAATATCAGGAAAGGGCTTTTTTGAGGCTAGTCCAGATTTTGGGGCAGAAACTGGACCCCAATCCAGCTCTTGCTGCTTTCTCCAGGGGGCCTGGCAGCGGTCATCTACACGGACACCCTGCAGACGGTCATCATGCTGGCTGGCGCCCTCACCCTGATGGGCTTCAGTGAGTACTGGGCGGGGGGCTTTCAGAATTGCTGTTCCTTAGCCTGCTGTCTGTCTGTGGGAGGCAGCTGAACTGGTCCATTTCAACCTCTGTAGGCTTTGCCAAAATTGGAGGCCTCGAGGACCTGAAGAACAGATACTTCAAAGCCATCGCAAGCAACCACCACGGAAACACCAGCTGTGGTTTGCCAAGACAGGATGCCTTCCACATATTCCGGGACCCTGTCACATCCGACTTTCCCTGGCCGGGAATCATAGTGGGAATGACCATCCCATCTTTGTGGTACTGGTGCACTGACCAGGTAATTCATCTTCTCATCTCTGGCTGAGGAAGAGTTTTAAAAGGTAAAGGTTTCCCTTGTCCAGTTGTATCCGAATTCTAAGGGGTGGTGCTCATCTCCGTTTCTTAGGCGAGGGAGCCAGCATTGTCCGAAGACTTTTTCTGTGGTCATATGGCCAGCCAAAATGCACAAAATACTGTTAACCTTCCCACTGAAATGATTGTTGTTGTCGCTAGTTGCGAAGTCATGTCCGATCCACCGCAACCCTATGGACAACGTTCCTCCAGGCCTTCCTGTCCTCTACCATCTTCTGGAGTCCATTTAAGCTCACGCCTGCTGCTTCAGTGACTCCATCCAGCCACCTCATTCTCTGTCGTCCCTTTCTTCTATTGCCCTCAATCTTTCCCAGCATTAGGCCCTTCTCCAGTGAGTCCTTCCTTCTCATTAGGTGGCCAAAGTATTTGAGTTTCAACTTCAGGATCTGGCCTTCTAAAGAGCAGTCAGGGTTGATCTCCTCTAGGACTTAATCTACTCGCAGTTGCATGTTTTCGAACTGCTAGTTGGGCAAGAAATAGGAACTCACCCCGTCGCATGGCACTTGGGTTCAAACCCGGGCTGTAAGCTGCCAGTTGACAAGCTCAGCACCTTTAACCATTCAGCCATTGTGCCCTCTAAAGAGGGAGAGCTTTAAAGAAAGAGAATTTGCCACCATGTGCCAGGAAGTGATAGCATTGCTTTAAGGGAGAACTTGCAGCATGGCTCACACAGAGGAGTGGCAAAAGATGCGGCTACTTTAATTAGGGGTCAGGCTGTGTGCTTGAGAATGTTTGCACAACTTCCTCCGAATCGCTTCTCAAGTGTGGCAACTGAAATGTCTGGCATTATGAGAACAACACTGTAATCTGCCCACATCATCATGTGCTGTCATGGTAATACAGTAAGTCCCTGGGTTAAGAATGTCCCGATTTAAGGATGACCCATGCTTATGAATGGAGCCTATTGTTGCAAAATTTGATTGAAATACACAATGATTCAAGTTAAATACACAGTGGTTCAAGTTCATTACACAATGTTATTTATACAGTATTATATAACACTGTCCCGGCTTACATACAAATTTGACTTAAGGACAGACCTTGGGTATAGAACTCATCCTTAAACTGGGAATTACACAGGCAGAATTAAATTACTGTCTCTCCTTGGAATCGATCCCTCTGGTCCCAATGGTAGTAATTTGGTCTTATATTGTCTAGGGGATGGCTCCTCCAATATTACTTCTCAAGTTTCTAAGTTTCTTTTAAGAGCTGTAACTATTAGAGGAGAACGTTGTAATTCCCTTTAGCCAAGGCTTCTGGTGCTTAATTGTTTGTGATTATATCTTTTTTGTGCTTTCTTTTGTTGCGCTTGCATTTTGGTCTGTGACCGCAAATAAAATATTATTATTATTATAACTGGGAATTACCTATAATCATGAAACATGTTTGGGAGCGCCCAGAGTCACATTTTGTGAGATGAGCGACTATATAGAACATAGAACATAGAATAATAGAGTTGGAAGGGACCTGGTCTTCTAGTCCAATCTCCTGCTAAAGCTGGAGACCCTATACCATTTTAGACAAATAGCTGTCCAATCTCGTCTTAAAAACCTACAGTGATGGAGCACCCACAACTTTTGGAGGCAAGCTGTTCCACTGGTAAATTGTTCTCACTGTCAGGAAATTTCTCCTTAGTGCTAGGTTGCTTCTCTTCTTGGTTAGTTTCCATCCCTTGCTTCTTGTCTTGCCTTCTGGTGCTTTGGAAAATAAATTTGGTAACTAAATAAATACTCATATGGTTGGCTCCTCACTATGATCCACCATTAGTGGGTGTTCTGAATGAGCAGCATTTGGATAGAGAGGACACCCCCTTCCTTTTCCTGACTATGCAGAGATTTCAATCCAGGCTTCCCACATTCAAGGCCAGCACCATCTGCCTTCAGAATGCACCATGCACCAGCGCCTCAACAGCCACTGTCTATTTGGAGTAGAGGACAGAGCAAATGGCCTTGGCAGACAGAAGAAAGAGCTGCTTCCAAGGCAACAGTCAGATAAGCCAGCCTTGAGTTCCCCCGCAGAGAAAACAATGTGAGAAAAATTCTCAGACAAGCTCTCCCCCCTCCCCCCAATTCACACAAAGATAAAGGGAGGGAGGGACAAGGACATTGAGACTTGCAAGATTATGTTCCTAGAGCTTTACCATAAAAGTATCCTACTTGGTCTTGGTTTTTTTCAGTCTGGTCTACTTTGTCAGGGTGACATTTGGGTACATCTTCATGGTTCTGGACTTAGAGGCATCTGCGAGGTGTGGACAAGGAAGCCAAAGCACATTAAAAAAATTGGTTGAACCTTTGACTGGACTATTGTGACCATCATCTTGACTTTTTGGACTACACCGTGCCTGGACTTTGAAGCTGGGGTGATGTGGGAGGCTGTTCTAGGCAAAGAAGGGAAAATGAACCCTGTCCATCTCCTTTTCCTTTGAAGGTCATTGTCCAAAGGTCTCTGGCGGCAAAGTCTCTCTCTCATGCCAAGGGCGGGGCCCTGCTGGCCTCCTACTTGAAGATCCTGCCTCTCTTCATGATGGTCTTGCCTGGCATGATCAGCCGTATCCTCTTTCCAGGTAAGAGTGGGAGCGGTGGCCTAAAAATCATTTAGAAAAGAAGAAGCATGTTCTTTTTATTTGGGGGGGGCACTACGCTTCCCTTCCGGTTACTTTGGCCACCTAAGGAGAAGGAAGGACTCACTGGAGAAGAGCCTCATGCTGGGCAAGATTGAGGGCAATAGAAGAAGAGAAGGACAGAGAAGGAGGTGGCTGGATGGAGTCACTGAAGCAGGAGGCGTGAGCTTAAATAGACTCCAGAAGATGGAAGAGGACAGGAAGGCCTGGAGGAGCGTTGTCCATGGGGTCGCAATGGGTCGGACACGACTTCGCAATTAACAACAACAACAACAACAACGCTTCCCTTCGGTTTGATTCTGGCCTAGTCTGGAAGAACTGAGAAAGAAAGAGTCTGAGAAGACAGCCTTATTATTTATTATTATTTAATAATTATTAGTATAGTAGTTATTATTTAATAAATTATTAAACCATTTCTAATATTTCATATTTTATTTAATAATACATAATAAGGCTGTCTTCTCAGACTCTTTCTTTCTCAGTTCACCGAGACTGGGCTAAAACCAAACCAAATCAGGATACAAAGGGAAGTGTAATTCTCAAAAAAAAAAATCAAAAATCAAATGCTTCTTCTTTTCTACATGATTTTTTAAAAAATATAGAATTATTTGTTCTGGGAAGTGAACAATGTTCTATTCCTCTCTGCACAGTTGTAATGGTTATCCTGTTTTGTTTTTTTAATTGGCCTTTTTATGTTCTTTGCTTATTTATCAATTGGTGATTATGATCCCTCTCTATGTTCACACAACGTACAAAACTGAGATGTGGATTGCTTGTTTGTGCCTAAGGGACCATGTGAACTCGTAGGTTCTTTGTATTGATTATTGCGTTGAATAAACTCAGGCGATTGTAATTTTTTAAAATAAACTACGGTTAAGCAAATTATAATTCCATTTGACTAAGCATGATGTTACTAAGCATAAACTTAGTTACCTGATTGGGTTCACACATTCAGCTATACATTGCTTACTCTTAATTCCCTGGGAAAAATATATTTGGCTGGGTTCATAGAAAAAAGCTATCTCAAAAATAAACAATCCAAATTCCTGGGTCTCTTTCACTTTCTGACATGGAAACCTGGCCACTGTGGTGAAGAAGGCATTGGTGCTCCTGAGGGGAGCTTGAGTGATGGATGAAGGCAACTCACCTGCCAGGTGCCCAGGGTAGACTATCAATAAAACCTAGTGGAGACAGATGCCCTTGACCATGTTGAGTGAAATACTACCGTCCCTCAATCTATAGAAACGGTTAGCTGATTTAAAACAAAGGGTTCCAGGCAGAAGAAGTCCCTCAGAAGCTGTGGAGAGAGATCGGCAAAAGTACAGGTTCTTCTCGGACTCTGATTAAAGTTTAGAATTTCAGTTCAGCCCAGGTAACTGAGCTAGAGGAACTGTTTGCTGCGGACAATTGTTCTTTCTATAGAAATAAATTAAGCAAGTAGCCAGGAGTTTGTTTAATTTATGGTTTTTGTTTTCCCGTAGTGTTTAAAGTCTCGTTTATTTCATGTTCTTAATTCTCTGTTTAAATTATACAAGTGGGCCTTTAAAGTTTAACAGTGATTCAAGCTGTGTTCCTCGGTTGTACCTACTGCATCTCATGACCTGGGAAGTTTGTTGAATGTTTTAATAATTACAGATAAAAAGGGGTTTTACATTTTTAGAAATAAAGTTTGATTTTCTTTATGCCTTTTGAAATTGCTCTAGTAGCCTGTAGATATCCCAAGTAGCCAAGAATTAGCTATAAAGAAATTATTTCAGCATTTGCATTTTGATCTTTTAACCAACTGACAGGCAGTTTGGGGTGTAAATACCTTGATTTTCATCCACACTGGGGCAAGAGATTAGAATTCAAGTGAAATTTTTCTGGGAAGATAGGTGTGTTAGCTATTCCAGGAGGGGGCAGGGCTGGGAAGACCCAGAGGGCTTCCAAAAGTCAAAGTTGGGACCCCCAGACTTTCATCTTGCAGGCCCCATTCTGATTTCAAAATGGCAGTCCTGAATCTGATTTCTAATCCTTTTTTTTTTTTTTTTACTTTTTTGAATTGTCCAGCCTTTCTCTCACCCTTCATAACTTCTTTTGGTTCTATTTTGTTGCAGATCTAGTGGCCTGTGCTGATCCCAAATCCTGTAAAGAGATCTGTGGCAATCCATCTGGATGTTCAGATATTGCGTACCCCAAACTTGTCATTGAGCTTCTGCCACTGGGTAAGGGGCTTCTCATTAATGCGAAGAGGGGCATGGTCGAGAGGCAGAATTGCAATAGGACTCCTGGGAGCCTTCAGGAGCAGACTATTACCTTACTTTTCTCACAACTGAGTTGCATTTTGTTGTATTGGATCCAGTGTTCAAGTCTGTCTTTTGGATCTTGAGCCTACCTTCTAAAGTGTTGGCTATTCCCTCCAGCTTGGTGTCATCTGAAAATTTGATGAGTTCTCCTTCTATTCCCTTATCTAAATTGTTTATGAAGTTGTTGAAGAGTACTGGGCCTAAGACAGAAATGTGAGGTAACCCACTGCTTGCTTCTCTCCATGGAGATATAGTTCCACTGAGGACCACACGTTGAGTGTGGATTTTCAGCCAGTTAGAGATGCTGTCTATCCCATTTTTTTTCTACCTTATCAAGTAGTAGGTTACAATCTACTTTATCAAATGCCTTACTGAAGTCCAAGTAAATTATATCCACGGCATTTCGTTGGACCACTAATTTAGTCACTTTTTCAAAGAATGCAATAAGATTTGTTTGGCATGATCTGTTTTGGACAAAGTCAAGTTGGCTTCTAGTCATAGCTTTGCTGGCTACTCAGAACGAGTTGGAGTTGACAAAGGATGCTAAGAACAGTGAAAGGGGCTCCTTTGTTATCTTCAGAATAAAAGGGTAGATAAAATATGATACACATGCTAGGAAAATATAGCTAAAGAATAACAAGCATGGAAAAGGCAGAACTTCTCTTTCTCTATGGAAGAGTTGTTCATTCCAGCCTGCCTGTTATGGAAGACAGTTCATATAGTCAGAGCGATCCTCCTGATGCCTAACCGAGAATCTCTTTCATTGTAGTTTTAACCCATTGATTCTGGTCCTGTTCTCTCTGGGCAATAGAAAACAAGACTAATTCCTCTTTTGGGGCTATCTTTTCAGACTACAACCTTCTTTCCCCTTAGATAATTTTTTGTATGCAAACAAATCCTTTAACTGTTCCTCATAGGAAATTGGTTTCTGACCTTCACTATTTTATGAACTGTGAAATCTTATTTCATTTTTTTGATGTGGAAAACTCTTTAATAGATTGGGGGAATGCTGTGGTTATAATATATCTTGATTTTAGTAATGCATTTAATAAAGGACCACATGACAATCTAGTTAGCAAGCTGAAATGTGAGCTGGATTACCTGTCTATTAGATGGATCCTTAGCTGGCTTGTAATGGGTACTAAGAGTGCTGTCCAAAAGTTCCTTATCTCACTAGAGCAGGGGTAGGCAACCTTGGCTCTTTCATGACTCGTGGACTTCAACTCCCAGAATTCCTGAGCCAGCATGGGGGAACTATGCCCCTTTCATGACTCGTGAACTTCAACTCCCAGAATTCCTGAGCCAGCATGGCTCAGCTTGGAAACCTCTCCCTTTCCCCTCAGCATAGCTGGCTCAGGAATTCTGGGAGTTGAAGTCCACGAGTCATGAAGGGGCCATAGTCATAAAAGAGCCAAGGTTGCCTACCCTTGCACTAGAGTGAATGAGCTGCTTTAGGAAGGTCCGGTTTGCTATTTTTTTCATTCATTACTTAGATTAATGGTGAAGGAAATAATTACATTTGCAGTTAACATAAAACTAGATGGAATAGCATCTTTTCATCTTTCTCATTTGTCATCTTTCCTACTACCTCCTCCTATTGGTATATTATGATCTATCAATTGTATCTTATGATTTATGATTGCATCTTATGATTTATGATTATAACTTATGATTTATGATCTATGACTTATCACTTTATTGTTTGTATGTACACTGAGAGCTTCCGCATCGGAGACAAATTCCTTGTGTGTCCAATTACACTTGGCCAATAAAGTATTCTGTTCTGTTCTGTTCTGTTCTGTCCTTTTCTGTTCTGTTCCATTTTATTCTGTGATTCTGTACATCTGTGAAAAGTAAATTAGATTTGTTTTTCACTTTGTCAAAGGAAACAATTCCTGATTTTATTCTTTTTTTCTGAAGTTGGATGCAAGCTATGACTTAGCAAATAGTAAGAAGTTTTTGAGTAAACTGGAAACTTTTTTTGATTCCAGAGGAGATGCTGGTAAGGAATATTCTCATCCAGGCTTTTTGCTTCCAGGACTAAGAGGGCTTATGATGTCGGTCATGATCGCAGCACTGATGTCCTCTTTGACTTCAATCTTCAACAGCGCAAGCACCATTTTCACCATGGACCTTTGGCGACATCTTCGACCTCTGTCTTCTGAATGGGAGCTCATGATCGTTGGCAGGTAAGCCCATGGGACACATCTAGCAAGAGCCCCATGACTACTCTACTCTTAGGAGGCAAGCAGTAGCCAAACAAATGACCAAAAAAGACCTTTAAGGGCTGAGCTTATTCTGAAGATCATTTGAAAGAAATGCTTTGGACTTGGTATGTGCGCGCAGCACCTCTCTGATAGTCATTCAAGGAGCCTGACCTTTTTTGAGGGATTCAACTTGCATCTCAATGTTCATGAGTGGGTTCTGTAAAAGCAACTTGTCAGAACTGTCCTGATTTGGTCCTTAGGAAGGATAGACCCTCGACTCCATGATTGAAGGGAAAGGTTCACTTCTACTAAGGTCAAGTGATTGCAGGATAAGCAAAGCTGGATCTGAATAATCCCATGCAAAGCCTGTGTTTTCTCCCGTCTCTGGTTCCCTCTGTCTTGACCAGTCCATCAGTGTCCAATCATATTCGTTTTAAGGGTTTGAGGAATGGCTTTGAGATTGGGTGCCTCTTTACTGTAGTTTTGCATTCCACTTTCATGGTTCGTCCTTGATCGGTTGGCTGTTCCAGATTGATACCCTCAATGGTGAAAAAAGTAAGGTTCTACATTTAGGCAAGAAAAACCAAATGTACAGGTATAGTATAGGGGGTACCTTGCTCAATAGTAGTAACTGTGAGAGGGACCTCGGAGTCCTAGTGGACAATCACCTAAATATGAGCCAGCCGTGTGCTGCAGCTGCCAAAAAAGCCAACACAGTGCTAGGCTGCATTAACAGAGGGATAGAATCAAGATCACGTGAAGTATTAATACTACTTTACAATGCCTTGGTAAGGCCACACTTGGAATACTGCATCCAGTTTTGGTCACCACAATGTAAAAAAGATGCTGAGACTCTAGAAAGAGTGCAGAGAAGAGCAACAAAGATGATCAGGGCACTGGAGGCTAAAACATATAAGGAACGGTTGCTGGAATTGGGTATGTCTAGTTTAACGAAGAGAAGGATGAGGGGGGACATGATAACAGTCTTCCAGTATCTCAGGGGCTGCCCCAAAAAAGAGGGAGTCAAGCTATTCTCCAAAGTGCCTGAAGACAGGACAAGAGTCAACGGATGGAAACTCATCAAGGAGAGAAGCAACCTAGAACTAAGGAGAAACTTTCTGACAGTGAGAACAATTAACCAGTGGAACAACCTGCCTCCAGAAGCGGTAAATGCTCCAACACTGGAAGTTTTTAAGAAGAAACTGGACAGCCATTTGTCCGAAATGGTATAGGGTTTCCTGCCTGAGCAGGGGGTTGGACTAGATGACCTCCAAGGTCCCTTCCAACTTTATCATCATCATCATTATTATTATTATTATAATCCTGTCATCCCCTCTCTTCCTCCTTTTGCCCATTCCCTATTTCCCCATCCTCCTCTCCCCTTCCCTTCCCTTTCATGGCAGGATGCCAGCGAGGCTGAAGATGGCAGGCCTGACATAACTTTTCGTCACGCTCACCCAGAAGCCTGAAAAAGCTCAGGATCCTTTAATGAACGGCAGAGAAGGGCTTTGCTTCTGCAAGGCCAGAGCGCTTTTCCCAACCGAGCTCAGCTCAAATCCACCGTTCCAAAGCTCCCGATGGGAAGAGTGTCAGAATCCAGTTATATTTCATTTCTATCTATCTTCTCTGATATAAAACCAATTCTTACTCTCTCCTGGATCCTGTCATACTACTAAGGGGGAGGGGGGTATGCATGGGGTTTTTATGACTTTCACTTCCTCTATTCACTACAAAGTAACCTTTTTTTTTATTCGCTTCGGATCTGCTAACCATCACAATGTAACCATTTGCCTTTCATCCTACGCCCCTCTGAACTTTTCCTCCTTTACTGGCCAGTGAGAGAAAGGGAGGGGAGGGCGGGGAAAAAGATGCAGCATCTGGGATCTGTGTGAGGAAATGTTGAATGAACAGTGCCAACGGAGCCAGATGGATGTTATCTCTCCTGGAGTTGACACCTAGAAATCTGCCGGTTTGAATTGCCCAGAAGAACTGCGGGGGGGGGGCTGCTTTGGGACATTTTAAAACATTGAATTGTAAGGGAATCCTCAGATCCTGTCTATCATGCCTGCTATCAGTTTCTCTTAATAAAAGTTCCTGTTGGAAGAGACCGTTCCCTAGAGTTCTGCTTTCTTAAGATGTGGATTGAAGTGGGTCCTTACAAAGGGCTTCACTCACTGCCAGGATGTGTTCATCCCCAGTTTGAAGAGCGTGAAATCCAAATGACCCGGCCTTTCTTCTGCACACAGGGTGTTTGTTCTGCTCCTTGTGATCATTTCCATCCTGTGGATCCCCCTGGTGCAAGCCAGCCAGGGTGGGCAGCTCTTCATCTACATCCAGACCATCAGCTCTTACCTGCAACCTCCCGTGGCCATCGTGTTTATCCTCGGATGCTTCTGGAAGCGGACAAATGAGAAGGTAACTCCAAGGACTTTTGGGGGGTGTCAGACCTGCCACCAACTTAAACCTCTAAATAGAAACAATCCTTGGCTCCGTTTGTTGACACAGGTATAATTTTATTAGAAGGTAATTGTATTGCAGCAACGCATAGCCAGAACTGAGAATCACGCTCCCAAATCCCCAAAGTTCAGCTTTTCCCTCCCTTCACTGCCTCCCATCCCTGACACCCCCCCCGATGACTAATCAGATTCAAGCAAGATGTGTCAATGCTGCTAACATTGGATGTTCTTGCTTGACAATATATGAAGATGCAGACATTTTCTATTTAACCTGTGTATTACTTTTAGAGTCAAAATTAGATGGTGCTGGAAGGGAGGGGGGAAGAATGTGCTTGGGGACTAGTTAGCCATAACAATATCTCAGTAGAGTATTTTTCAAGGTTAATTGTAATAAGAGGAGATAACAGGAGAGAAAGTTCACACTTCAAACTAATTGAAGAATGTGATTAATGACTGTTAAATGAAGGAGTGAGTTATGCTTTGTTACTGTGTTGCAAATTAAAAGATTCTTTAAGGTAAACAATGCCTCAAAGTTCTTTGAAGAGCTTCTTCTTTCGGAACCATGACAAGATGTTTTCAGAACGGGCAGTTCAAGCGTTGTTGGCATGCAGCTGCCTTCTTCTCCCAGCCGGCCGACCTTGAAGCAGCATCTTGGGGAGATACAATGGTTACTTTCGCTTTCCCCCAAGCATCCCCCCTCCCCTCCACCTTCCCCAGAGTTCACGGCAGACTCTCACTGCCTGGTAGCGAAGCACACACGCAAACATAAGGTGGCAGCTGACAGGTGGCCTGCAAACTCTTGTGGTTCTAAAAAGAGGGCAACTGGTTTCAGGGCAGGGAACTAACTTGATTTCTTTTCTTGATTTTCCTTTAGGGGGCATTTTGTGGTCTTTTGGTTGGCATGGTGATCGGCCTAATCCGGATGGTTTTGGATTTCGTCTACCTGCAGCCGGGCTGTGGGGAGTCAGATGACCGTCCGGCTGTGGTGAAATATGTGCATTATCTCTACTTCTCCATGATCCTGGGGGTGATCACGCTCATTGTGGTGGTGGCTGTCAGCCTCTTGACGGAGGCCCCCCCGGAGGAAATGGTACGTGCGCATTGAGAGGGGCGCTGGCTGCCTTCACTCTCATGATCTGCTTAGGGTGACCTGGCTACCTGGAGTAAAATCAGTCAGAAGGGATTGGCCTAAGACAGTGGTGGTGAACCTATGGCACGCGTGCCAGAGGTGGCACTCAGAGCCCTCTCTGTGGGCACGTGTGCCATGCCCCAGAGATGGCAACCGTCCCTCTTCAACCAACCACCCATTAACTCGCTGAGGTCCCACATGGCCGGATGCATCCCAGCACAGCTGGTTTCCCTCCCCCCCCGTCCCATCCCTCCTGGCCTCACATGCTCTCCTTTTCCTTGGCACGACCCACTACAAAGCCTCCTCAGCTGTTAGCTGGCTGTCCAGCTCAGAGGCGGCTTCTCTAAACTGCTGGTGGCGGGCTGCGGAGCCCCAGAATGTGCCGGTCGAGGGGCCGGCAGGCTGTGGCTGCTGACAGACACTGTCCCCCCCCCCATGTGCTCGCTGGCCTGTGTGTGCAGGGGCCGATGGTGTCAGGCAGCAGCTACCCTGGCCCCTGCCTCGCCTTGCCCTGCGACAATGGCACCCCTGCCCTGCCTTGTCTTGCCTCACCTCACCCTGCAGGATGAGCCTTCTGCCCATCGCCCCACCTGCCAGAGACCCCCTGGATCTCTCCCAATCCTGCCCGGCCCCCACAGACGTCCCTCCCCACGAGCAACATAGAGGTGACCACGCCCACCTTGGCCACACCCACCCAATCTTCCATGACCACCACAGCCACGCTCATCCAGGGCCCTGTTTTTTTGTCCAAACAGGTTAGCCGCCTCACCTGGTTCACCCGCAAGGATGTTCCAAGAAAAAATGATGCTCCAACTGCATCGTTGTCCATTCCAGTCAGAGGTAACAATGAGGCTGGTCTTTCTCCTCTGGGGCAACTGGAAATCATGGATGGCCCAGAAAACATTTGCAAAAAACATTCAGGTAAGCAGCCCGTCAGGGAGAGGAACAGAATCTTTCCCCTGAGGGAGAGCACGAGTTGGGGCTGTGAGAGGTTGTGCCTTGACCTCCTTCTCCAAAGAGACAGAGCAGAGGGCAAATTGGCCGGAGCCCCCAGTCTAAAGTGGGTTCCAGTCTTTGAACAGATCAGGTGGAGCCACCATTTTGATCAGGGCAGCAAACTGACTGATTGAAATAACAATCCCAAGTTACTGTCTGTCTGTCTGTCTGTCTGTCTGTCTGTCTGTCTGTCTATCATCTATCTATCATCTATCTATCTATCTATCTATCTATCTATCTATCTATCTATCTATCTATCTATCTATCTATCTATCTATCTATCTATCCATCCATCCATCCATCCATCCATCCATCCATCATCTATGTCTATCATCTCTTTATCTCTCTGTCTATCATCTATCTGTCTATCATCTATCTATCTATCCATCCATCCATATATCTATCCATCCATCCATCATCTATGTCTATCATCTATCTGTCTATCATCTATCTATCTATCCATTCATCCATCTATCTATCCATCCATCCATCATCTATGTCTATCATCTCTTTATCTCTCTGTCTATCATCTATCTGTCTATCATCTATCTATCCATCCATCCATCCATCCATCCATCTATCCATCCATCCATCATCTATGTCTATCATCTCTTTATCTCTCTATCATCTATCTCTCTAACATCTATCTTATCTATCTTCTATCATCTATCTATCCATCCATCCATCCATCCATCATCCATCATCTCTCTATCATCTATCTATCTATCCATCCATCATCTGTCTATCATCTCTTTATCTCTCTATCATCTATCATCTCTCTCTCTCTCTCTCTCTCTCTATCTATCTATCTATCTATCTATCTATCTATCTATCATCTATTCATACATCTATCATCTATGTCTATCATCTTTTTATCTTTCTATCATCTATCTATCTATCTATCTATCTATCTATCTATCATTCATTCATTCATTCATTCATTCATTCAATTTCTTTAACTGCCCATCTCAACCAATGACTCTAGGTGGCAATTCTAAAACTATAAAAAACATTTAAAACACCAAATCATCCAAAATGAATATACACAGCAGCCGAGATAATTAACTAGTTAAAACTAAGTCCAAGCAACGGGGCCCATACAACACATGTGGAGACTATACAGGGCTCCACAGAAGTTTTTAAAGCCTTACGAAAAGTCATCCGTATTGGGGCCATTCTAATCTCTGAGGGGGGGGTAGCACTGTGCCTCCCCCCCCATTGCCCACAATGAAACGGAAGAGAAAAACCATTGATCCTAACATACAGTGGAAAGGGGAAGATTCAAATGTATCTCCTCCCTCCCAACCCCAAGGAGCCTTGATCAGCTGAGTTTCTATCTCCCAAATTCTGATGGGGGGGGGTTCTTGCATGTGAACCAGGAAGCCAGGAGGACTTGTGAATGGAGGCTGGGCAAGAGCAGAATCCCCTGTGGCCACCAAAGCTGGTTTGCTCAGTTGTCTATGGAGATCCATCCAGGTCGTGGTTATCCCAAAGGTGCTTTTTCCAAAAGCCAACTGGGCTTTCTTGGGTTTTCCCTTGAAAACATTTTGCTTCTCGTCCAAGAAGATTCTTCAGTTTGCTCAGTTGTGCAACAGGTCTCCAAACAGGAGGGGGGGGGGCATTTCCATTGCTTTAAGGGAGGCTGAGATGCACTTTTCTGGGGACGAAGCAATTACTTGGCTCCAAAGCAATTCTGGGCATCCCACATCCGGGCTACAAAATCCTGGGTGCTCCCCCCCCCTCTCAGCAGCAAAGAGGTTGGAAAATCGTACTGATGTTAGAAGCCCCAACATCTGGGATACCCAGAGGGAGAATCCCCAGGGCTGCCTTTCTCTCCCAAGTGGGGAAGGGGCTTTCACGGTCTTGGAGTGACCCCTAGAGGCGAGCCTTGGCAAAGCCCAGGAGATCCCTTGCAAAAGCTGAGGGGACACCCTTTGCAATTTTGTGAAAGTCAAATTAGGAAAATAAATGTACTCATCTGAGATTTAAGATGTATCATGGCAAATTCTGGGACCGGCAGCTAATCTGCTTTTGATTTGGGTGCCTTTGAGTCAGCGTTGACTCCTAGCGACTATCTGGATTGGTCCCAGAACATGCCAGCCAATTCCAGAGGTCCAAATGGGGGAGATTTTGAGTGCCTTGTGGTGTTCTTACCGCTGATTGTCTTGCCTGCAGGTCCCTTGGACACAAAGAAGAAGGAGAAGAAGTCTAAATTAATGAGCCTGTTTTTGTGGCTCTGTGGGATGGAGAGCAGAGATAAGGACTCACCTGGGATGCCTGCTGAGCCCAAAGCTGGAGTCAGGGCTTCACTTGATGAACCACCTCTGGTGAAGCACATCCTCAACATCAACCTGGTCTTGTGCATGAGCGCTGGGGTCTTTCTCTGGGCCTACTTTGCATAGCATTGGACCAGGCCAGCCATTGCAGAGACACTCTTCTTGCTTCCACACCTGGGGATGCCATCCAGAACAAAAGAGCATCAAAAATAAGATGACATGACGATCCTGCACATTATATATATTTTTATATTCCCTAGAAAAAATGGTAGAATTATGTGAAGAATTCAGCTTTGGCTGGAGCAGGGTAGCAAAGGAAAACTGAAGCCCTTCGTTATAAACGTTGCACATTCAGCGCATATGGAAAAAAAACAAAACAGCAGGACTTTGCACTTTTGACTGTTTTATTCCCCCATGGATGCTCTTGGACCAGAATCATAAACAAAGAGCATTGCGGGATTTATGGAGCTTACACACAAAAAAAGCCAGTGATGACAGCAGCAGCGTATTTTAGTCAACTCGCCTTTGTCTTCTTGGAATACGGAAAAATATTTGATAAAATCAGATCTAGATGGACTTGCATGCAAAATTCTTCTGCAAGTTGGCTTGACGGCAGAACATTATTTTAAGAGCGTTATTGCTAAATTTTTCCTTACAGTAACATGGGCTTAGTGATGGATTTTGCCTTAACCCTGTTTCGAAGCTCTGTGTCTACTGTTTGGCCACTTGGTGGGTCTTCAGAGGCTGCCTGTTGTGTAGGAGCAAGGAACAGATCCAAGCCACCCCTCACCATCCTCTTAATATGGAGGACAACATTGCTGCAGTGTCAGGTTGGGATCTGTTCCTTAGGCCAGGGCAAGGACATCTTCTCTGAGGACACTTTGAGGAATCTGAAAACCCCAAAGGAAAGGGATTTGTAGGTGCAACTATATCCCGAGGACATTTTGCTGGGATGGTGCAATTGACATGAAGACCCCTTGGTCCGTTAGGCAGAGTATCCCCTGGCACTCAGCTGCCAGCACATTGGCCTGCAGGAGTCCCTACAGTTCAGTGACCTAAGACAGGGCTTTTCAACCTTTTCACCCATTGTACCACTTTTAGGATATGGCAATATCCGAGTACCATCAGTCGCCTAGCAAGGTGTCAAAAACTTGATCACCCCCCCCAAAAGGAAAAAGTGATAAAATACAGATAGTTCTCGACTTACAACAGTTCGCTTAGTGACTGTTCGAAGTTACAATGGCACTGAAAAAAGTGCCCCCCAAGCCACAGCTGAGCAAGACGCCTGCCTGGCCGCCCGGCGGCACTCTCATTCCCCTCCCCCACTACTTTTCTAGGATGGTCGCGTACCACCTCCCAGGTGCCAGTGTACCACAGGTGGTACCCATACCACTGGTTGAAAAGCCCTGACCTAAGAGCGTCTCCCAGAGCCGGCCAGCTGAAGGTCCCACCCTGGGCAGGAAATCCCATTCCATATTTATGGACCTCAGTCCTTTCCGCTACTGGACTGGACTGCTGTAAACCCACATGTTAATTGTAGCATGGTTGCAATGATCATCGGGGCCAGGCGGGGCCAGTGTGATTCATTTGGGCTTTCCAAATCCAGACACGTAAACCATGGTTTGTGGCTAAGTGCAAAACAGTGTTGAGAACAGCAGCTTTCTTCGGTCCAACGAGTCTGGTAGCGCACCCGGCTTTGAGGCTCTTGGTCACAAGGAGGACCAAACATCACTTCATTGGCTTACTGTTCATGTGTGTTTGATGCAAAGGCATTTTGTCAGGGGAAGGATGTCATGCTGATGACAAACAGTATTAGGCTCTGATAAAAATGTCACTTAGGAACGTGCGGGAGAAGCTGGATCTTTAACCGGAAAAACAAAGCTACGGGAGGGAGGCTGAGAAACCCCAAGGACTTCTCCACCACATTTCTGCGGGCAGCACCAGAAAGGATGGTGGTTCCCTCGTGTTCAGCAGAGGATCTGTGACAAGAAACAATGGATGGAAACTGACCAAAGAGAGAAGCAACCTGGAATTAAGGAGAAAGTTTCTAACAGAGAGGACAATGAACCAGTGGAACAGCTTGCCACCAGAAATCGTGGGCGCTCCATCACTGGAGGTTTTTAAGAAGAGACTGGACAGTCACTTGTCTGAGAGGGCATAGGTTCTCCTGCTTGAGCAGGGGGCTGGACTAGAAGATCTCCAAGGTCCCTTCCAGCTTCTATTCTATTCTATTCTGTGTTCTATTCTATTCTGTATTCTGTTCTATTCTCTATTCTATTCTATGTTCTGTTCTATTCTGTATTCTGTTCTGTTCTGCAGACTGCATTGTTTACAGAGTACTTTGTAAGTAATGTCATGTTTTTCATGTTTAAAAAAGACCAACACATGTGTTGCTATTTATTATTCTGAACAGAGCGAGGGGCCTCTGCAGACAGCCCACTCTGTCCCTGGGCTCTGCTGGTTCTCCTGGGGTCTGTTTTCTTCTCGAGGCACCCATAAGCCTACTTTAAGTCTATGTTTACCAGACTAGATGTCCTGCACAAAGACTGCCTGGAAAATAGCCTGTCTGAGCTCTGCAGGCCTCTGGATGCCATCCTTTTTCCTGTGGCTGTTGCAGGAGGAGCTTGATAACAATAAATATACGCATCTCAACAGTGTGAGTCTCGTGTGAGTTTTCACAGAAAGAAAAAAGACCGTCAATAAGTTTGTTTTGGTAGCTTGGGGATGTCTGCATGCCGCTTTCTGAGTGAAGGGTTCTATTCCATGTCTCTTCCTTTAAATATCAGCAGGTGATGTAAAAGTGGCTTCTTACACCAGCATTCCCTAAGGCAGGGTTCCCCAACCTTAGCCATTTTAAGATGTGTGGACTTCAATATATATATAATCCTGTCCCCCGTTGACATAGTTTAATCTATCTTTATACACACTACCAACTGAACAGGACATACCGGTATTATTTAAGTGTTAAACACACATCCCACACAGAATAACAATCAGATTTCACATAAATGGAAGCCACTTACCTTGAGGCCAGGCGTTCTTCATTACTTTCCTTCTAAAACGCGAGCTACAAGTAATTTTTATTATTTCAAAGTTGTATAGGCGTAAACATATTGAGGCCTGGTATTCCACCAATAGAGCAATTAACAAACACATTGATTTAGATCCAACATATCAATACGTAAGAAGCCAGACCATTCAAAGCGCCAATCAACAAGAGAACCAATCAGCTGCTCGGAATTCAAAGACCAACTGATCACACAAGACGTTTAAGAGCTAAGGGGAAGAGGACAAGAAAATCCTGCTGATGAGGTTACCTAGTTTGGTAACAAAACGTTCAGGAATTGTATTAAAACGAGCTTGGAGAACAAACCACAACCACATTTGCAAATAAGACCATCAACCATGTTGGTGACTGTTAAGTTTGCGGAAACAAAACAAAATAGAATAGTTTTGCCTTCATTTATATGGCTGCACGTGTGTCTGTGATCCATGAGGACACACACAAACAAGATTAACAACATAGTTGGAACAATTTCCTCTTGGATAAATGTCTGGGATAGTTGTTACACATTCTTCTTCTAAATTGTGTTTTTCAACCTCAACAATTTGAAGTGCAGTGTAGTTTGAACGAGCTGGCATCGCTGTAAAAGGTAGTTTACGCAATAGCAATAGTTCACTTCAATTATATTTGAAGTAAAAAACGAAATCCCCTCAGTTGGTGGGCACGGACAGAGACTTGCAGCTGACTCTCGTGGTCTCCAATGCCAAATGACCAGCATCTCTTCTGTTTTAGTCTCTTTAGCAGTTTCAGGACATTCCGTATGCTCAGTTCTCATGGAGGTATTGGAGGGCCATTCCTTCGTCTTTCACCTCCCGTCATTTTTTTATTCACCAGACTTTGCCTCTCATGACCTCTTTTAGCTTATAGTCTTTTATATTCAAAGGTGCAGTTGCTGTGTGGGGTACAGGAGGGTGCACCCCTAGCATCCATCCACAGCTAGATCAAAGATTATGACATAATACAAAAAAATCACAAAACATTTCCTGTGCTGACTGTGAACTGGGCTATATAGGGTGATTCAACAGGGCTGTCTCTGAGCGTGTGTACCCAGCTTTTGAAGACAACACAGTAGGAGCTCTCTCCTTTTTGAAGGTGTGGAAGATCTGGGTAAACATCTATGAAAGGGTGACCCAGGGGATCACAGGTCATCTACTGGACGTTTAAAATTAAGGTCAACAACAGCAGAGATCCACGTCCATCCTTATTTCTCAGAATGTCTTCGCCTACCAATTCGTTCTTCCTTACCCTAACCCAGTAATGGCGAATCTTTTAGAGACCGAGTGCCCAAACTGCAACCCAAAACCCACTTATGCATTGTCGAGTGCCGGGTAGGTGTGGCCCATTAGGTGGGCGTGGCTGCGGTGGTAACGGCAGACTGGGTGGGACTAAAAAGTTCAATCAATCAATTCCAACTTTGCAAGATCTTTTTTTTTCCCGCGAGAAGTTGAAATTGACTGATTGAACTTTTTTTTTTTGCACGCGGAGGTGGAGGCCTAAAGCGAAAAGGTTTTATAAAACCCAGCTGAAGGCCTAGGACTGGGGCGACGGCATGCGTGCCCACAGAGAGGGCTCTGAGTGCCGCCTCTGGCACCCGTGCCATAGGTTCGCCACCACTGCCCTAAGCCAGGGCTTTTCAACCTTTTCACCCATTGTACCACTTTTAGGATATGGCAATATCCGAGTACCACGTCGCCTAGCAAGGTGTCAAAAACTTGATGACCCCCCCAAAAAGGAAAAAGTGATAAAATACAGATAGTTCTCGACTTACAACAGTTCGCTTAGTGACTGTTCGAAGTTACAATGGCACTGAAAAAAGTGCCCCCCAAGCCACAGCTGAGCAAGACACCTGCCTGGCCGCCCAGTGGCGCTCTTCCTCCTGTCCGAGGTTTCCATTGTTGTGAGCATTTCTGTTGAGGATTGACAGCGGGGGTGGGGTGGGGGGTGTTTGGTTTTTATTCCCCCCGTCTGCTGGGTGGCTACAGCAGGTTTTGGTCACTTCACATGACCCTGGGACGCTGTGACCGTCATAAATATGAATCGGTTGCCAAGCATCTGAATGTAAATCACAAGACCCTGGAGATGCTGCAACATTCCAGCTGACCGGCGCTTCTTCTGGGCTCAGCAGAAGCACCAGGATCAGCGCCGAGTTCCAACTGGAGCCTGGCGCTGATCCTGGTGCTTCCGCTGAGCCCTGACAGCCCTGCAGCTCCAGCCATCTCTTGCTCAAGCTTGTGCGGTGCTGCCACCGGTTCAGCTCATTCCCCTCCCCCGCTACCACTTTTCTAGGATGGTCGCGTACCACCTGCCAGGTGCCAATGTACCACAGGTGGTACCCGTACCACTGGTTGAAAAGCCCTGCCTTAAGCTACCCTATCCCTGCATGAATTTGGTAAAAGAGCTCTAATGCTAAGCTGGTAGTAGAAACAGCTGCCCAAGAGGTCTCTCGGGTGCCATCCTCCCACCAAGAAGTCCTGCTGCCTGCTTCGTTGAAGAATGGCGGCAGGAAGCCATGGATAAATCCATTAAATTCCCGAAACATGCAGAGAGCGGGCTGAGTTCTTGCACAGAGACTGGGCCGCCCCAAATCCCATATCCCCACTTGAGCTTCTCTATCCCCAGACCAGGAACTTTGGTTTACCGATGGGGCTTCATGGTGGAAGTGGGGGGCCCAACAGACCTCTCAAGCAGCTGTTTCTACCACAAGCATCACAGAACAAAACTTTAATTTCTATTCCATCATGGCAATTATCGGTAAAACTATGAATTCATGCTAATTCCTGGTTGGTTTCTTCATTTCCATCTTAAATTTCTTAGCCAAATACAACACCAATAGAATTGAAATAAAATTTAGATGGAACTATTTTAGTAGTATTTAGCAAAGTTACCAAAACACTTAAATTATATTGAACTGTTTTGATTTCAGTTCCGGTTAGTAATTCTTTGTACTACCTACTGGGAAAGTGGCCAACAAAATAAATCTGGTTTGATAACCTCGAGACATCTATGTGTACGAAACAATGACATCAACAATGATGAAAATGAAATAGCTTGTAGGGGCAGAAGTATATACAAAATACTGAACTTTTGAGTGTGCTTAATAGCATATTTTATTTATCCTTAAGATTTTGATTGCTTTTCAAGGTCTCGATGTCACGCAACTACCAAATTCTCAGGTATCCAAAAGATTTTATGATGCATCAGGAAGCGGCAGGGCATAAATTACACTACGTGAAATTTCCTAGATGGGTAAGCAATCTGTTGAGTGTGCATTGCCATACAATACAAAGGAGTTTCATACCTGACTGGTTAGATTTTAGAAAGGAATTGTGTTCCACTTTGGGTGGGCATGATCTCTTGTCCTCGTCATCCAGATCACGGTGGTCCCAAAGGTGCTTTTGTCACCAGGCAATTGGACTTTCTTATTTTTTCCTTTGAAGATGTTTCTCTTCTCATCCAAGAAGCTTCTTCAGCTCTGAGTGGATGGTGGATCCTTCCATTCCCCACCACACAGTCAGAACTGAAGAAGCTTCCTGGATGAAAAGCGAAACGTCTTCAAAGGAAAAACAAGAAAGTCCAGTTGCCTCCTGAAAAAGCATCTTTGGGACATTGTGGATGTTAAAATTTCTCTTCCCCCCTCCCCCTCTCACACAGACTTAGGAATAACACCGAACACTTTGCCAAAGGCTTCTTGATTCACAACCTGCCCCCAAAGAAGTGAAAAATACAAGACTTTTTTCTGGTCCTGCTGTCTGAACTTCAGGAGGTGCCTGTTGCTCTCTCCGCCTTCGACTTCCAAGGCCACGACAGACTCCACCGGACAGCAGAAATCCCTCCTCTTCCCCCAAAAGGTCAAGTGGGAGATCTTCAAGAGAGTCCTGCTTTCGCTCAGATACATGAACCCGATGACCCGTTGCAGAAAGAAGCTGAGGGCGTACAGAAAGACGAGGGTGAAGGAGAAGAGGCCTGTGGCGTAAAAGCCCTGAGCGAAAGTAACCTGGTTTATCCCGTGGAGATACCAGAGCGGAGGGAGGACCACCAGAGCGAGGCCCGTCTGCAGCACCTTCAGCCTCGAGAAGAGTTTCAACAACCTGATGCTGGGGAATCGGTAAATCAAGGTAAACTTCTCTGAGTTTTCAAGGCTAGATTGTGGCTTCGGATCGTGTTGAGACAAGTCAAGGCTACCCAGCCAGCGGGGCTGCACCCGGCGGACGACGGGCATCCGGCTACCTCCCTGTTGCAGAATTGTAGGACTTTGAAAAGAATGGAGCATCTGGTGGCCTCTTTTCCACAACTGAGGAGCAAAGCTGTTTTGAAGACAACAGGGCCTGAAGAGGACCAAATGCCGACGGGCGCAACCAACAAGGGTCTTCATCTGGAATGAAACAGATCAGGTTTTCACCCAGTCGCAAAGTGGAGTAGAACTTTCACAGCAATTGTGTGTCTTTTCAGAAAGCAGCACATTTGTGACCAGGCTCGTAAATTAAAAAAAAATAGAAGCTATAATTTAATTAGAGGCTAGGATATCTTATTTTTTGTTTTTCCTCCAGGTAGTTACAAGGATTTGATTCTTTATATTTCCCATTCCCAGCTTTTGTCCCTCAGTTGTTTTTTCCAAAAGGCAACTGAGCTTTCTTGGTTGTTTTCTTTGAAAACATTTCCCTCCTCGCCCAAGAAGCTTCTTGGGTTCAGTTCTTCGGAACTGAAGAAGCTTCTTGGATAAGAAGCGAAACTTCTTCAAAGAAAACAACCAAGAAAGTTCAGTTGCCTTTTGGAAAAAAAGACCTTTGCAACAACAATTGAGAATCTCTAGCTTTTGTCTTCACAACAACCGTGTGAGGTGGGCCAAGGTGACCAGTGGGGACTGACTCTCAGGTCCCCCAACATGCTGCTGGTCTGTCCAAGATAAGAAATGGCTTCCTAGCCAAAACGACTCAGTAATATTATGGGATTTTTTCCAGCCTTCTGGACCCAAAGCAAGGCTTCCGACCCTCCGACCTCTTCCGTAGGTCTTGAGGCTGGTCTTCTCTAATGTGTTGGACTACAACCACCATCATCCTCACGGGACGATGGAAGGTGCCATTTTAACAGCCTCTCAGCAGCAAGCTTGGATTTGGAAAGGGAGCAAACTCAAACCCAGTTAGGACCTGGATGAGAGTCCATTAGCAACTCCCAGAGCTTAGGTGAAACCTGGAACATTTTGGGAGGAAACCGAGGCAAATTATAACCGTTATTCGGAGAAGAAAATTGTTTCCATGTCAAAAGAGACTTCATTTGTTCTGCTGAGGCCGGCCTTAGCAGGCTCAGCCCAAGTGAGCCTGTGGACAGGACACCACCAAGAAATGCCAGGGACGCCAGCCAAATTAGGAGGCCCCAGGCACCCCCTACAAAACCAGACACAGAGCTTACAATTCAATGCCTGATGGAAGCATACAGACAGCCCTCGACTTACAACAATTCAGGTCAGTTTAGTGACCGTTCAAAGTTACAACGGCACTGAAAAAAGTGACTTATGACTGTTTTTCATTGTTCCAACCTTTCCATTATTCCCATGACCAATCTGATCAAAATTGCTTTGCAACCTGTTCATATTTAGGACGGTCAGTGTCCCCGGGGGTCACGTGATCCCCCTTTGGGACCATCTGACAAGCCAAGTGAATGGGGAAGCCAGATCCACTTAACAACCGTGCTAATTTAACAACTGCAGTGATTTACTTAACAACTGGGACAAGAAAGGTCGTAAAATGGGGCAAAAGTCACTTAACAAATGTCTCGCTTAGCCACAGAAATGTTGGGCTCCATTGTGGCGTAAGTCGAGGACTACCCGTATTGTAATAGAAAAAGACATGCTGCGATTAAGAGGTCAAGGTGCCCACTATTCCTGGTGGTCTCCTCTCCAAACCGGCCCCCAGACCCAACCTGGCTCAGCCTCTTTGGAGATCAGCCAGGACCGCCCTCCCCGCACCCTGGTGGTCTCGCTGGGTGGTCTCCACTCCGCAAGGAGTCAACCCCACGCCCGATGCACCCTGCAAGAAGCCTCGCTTTGCACGCGTGACCGCCGCACCCCCCGTCCCCAACCCGCCCGTGCAATGCAATCCCATAAAGCCCACCCACCCCTCGCTGGGGAAGATGGGCCCTGCAGTCCAAGGCGCCGAGACCCCGATCACCTTCCCCGCGGAGGCTCCGAAGGCGCCGGGAGCTCGTGCAGACACCCCGGGAGGCGGCGCGGCGCGGTGCCTGCTGGGAGTTGTGGTGCCCGCGCGTGGAGGCGGCTGACGTCACTTACGGGCGGCGGGCTGGGATTCCCGGGGCTGCCGGACCTCGCGCAGCCACCAGATGGCAGCAAAGACACGCCGGGGGGAACTCCCGGGATTTGCCGCCCCTTTTGGTGCTCAGAGTCTGGTCCGCGAGGGGAAAAGGCGCGGTGGGAGCAAAACTCCACCGTTCAGGCTAGGAAGCAGGTTTTTCCTCTTTTTGCAATGCAAAAAAAATGCAAAAGTGGGAGCTGTTCTTAACATTTCATTTTTCATTTTCATTTTATTAAATTTATACCCCGCCCTTCTCCCGTAGGACTCAGGGCGGCTTACAGCCAGTTAAAAACAGTTCATACAATACAATAGAGGTTTTAAAAATCATTAAAAATAAATGGGGGAATATCTGGAGGAAGAATCCGGGGGGCTTTTTCTGTTTTCGTTCGGATGGGCAAGCCCACCGGATCCTCTCCTCGACTGCCAGGAGCTAAACTTGCAGGTGCTATTTTGAGTTAAATCGGTGTTTCTCAACCTCTAACTTCAAGATGGGGGAGGCTTCAATGGGGTGGGGGGAATCATGGTGGCTAGTGGATTCTGGCCGTTGAAGTCCAACCTTCCTGAAGCTGCAGAGGATGGAGAAACTGTGCCCTAACCGGACCTAACAAATCCCGGCGAGCCACGTAGCTTTCCCCCACTACTCTTCCGCCCCGCATTGGGCGGCAGCCGAAGGAAAACCGAAAGCGACGAGCGCCGCCCGCTCCTCCCGCCTCTACGCGCTCTGCGTAGGCCTCCGCCGTGCTTGCAGGGGAGGCGCGCGCATGCGTAGAGGTCGCCTCGGCCGGGAGGCATGCTGGGGCCTGTAGTTTTTGCTCGGCGCATCCAGTTCGAAGGAGCCGCGGCGCTGAGCAGGCGGCGGGCAGAGCCATGGAGGGCGAGGGCGGCGGCTCGGTTCTCTGCCTCTTCGACGTGGACGGCACCCTGACCGCGCCTCGGCAGGTAGGACTCGGGGGATGGCGAGCAGAAGGGTGCCTCTGAGCATGGGCAGAGTGCTTTAAGTCCGGGACCAGCTATGCAGTCAGTTCCTCGCCTAAAAACTGCTACAAGCGAGTAGTGCAGCTGCCTTTGCCGTTTACACAACTGCCTGGCAATTAGTGGGTGGCAAGTTACAGGTGGTCCTCGACTTGTGACTACATTTCTGTTGCTAAGCGAGACTGCCGTTAAGTGAGTTTTGCCCCATTTTACGACCTTTCTTGCCCCAGTTGTTAAGTGGATCACTGTAATTGTTAAGTTAGTAACACAGTTGCTAAGTGGATCTGGCTTCCCTATTGACTTTGCTTGTCAGAAGGTCGCAAGAGGGGATCATGTGACTCCAGGACGCTATGCGACTGTCATAAATATGAACCAGTTGCCAAGTATCTGATTTTTGATCACGTGACCATCGGGATGCTGCAACAGTCATCGCTTTTTTCAGTGACTTTGCAACTTTGAACAGTCACTAAACAAATTGTTGTAAGTCGAGGACTTATCTGTATTATTATTAATTATTCTCTGATTAATAATAATAATAATAATAATAATAATAATAATAATAATAATAATAATAATAATAATAATAATAATAATAATAATAATATAAAGTTGGAAGGGACCTTGGAGGTCATCAGGTCCAACCCCCTGCTCAGGCAGGAAACCCTACACCATTTCGGACAAATGGCTGTCCAGTTTCTTCTTAAAAACTTCCAGTGTTGGAGCATTCACCGCTTCCAGAGGCAGGTTGTTCCACTGGTTAATTGTTCTGTCAGGAAGTTTCTCCTTAGTTCTAGATTGCTTCTCTCCTTGATCAGTTTCCATCAGTTGCTTCTTGTCCTGCCTTCAGGGGCTTTGGAGAATAGCTTGACTCCCTCTTCTTTGGGGCAGCTCCTGAGATATTGGAACACTGAAAGCTGCCTACTGGCCTGGCTTTTAATGCATTACATAGTATTCCATTACATCTTGGGTTGCTCCTCTTCAGATTTTAATCTTTATCACAGTTTTAATACGTAGTTGCAATTAATGGTCGATACTCTCTTTGTAATGAGAAGCAAGTAAACCTGGATGGGAATGAATAAACAGCATCCTCAGTCGTGGCAGCCTAGAAGCTCTGTTTCTTGTTTAACTCTTGATGGTTCCTTGCTTGGAGTGATTTATGCTAACTTAGTTGTGAGTTTGTTGAACTTTGTAGTTTGGGGGCATTTGATCAGTAGCACCTTGGTTTTTGTGAGCAGTTGTGATTTCGTAACTCCTCACCTTACTTTCATCCCAGATCAAAGTTACCGTTTTTAAAAGGAATTAATGATAAGGACCATGATTAGAGTAGAATAAAAATGCAGTTATTGTGACAAAATTGTCTCTAATTCAAGACCACTTCCTGATTTGATAAGCTAGAGCTAGACATTTTATTTCCTTGTGGCAATGGTAGAAAAGGTTATTAAAGTCATTTCTCCATTTCTTCACCTGCAGTTATATAGGCCAGGGGCAGGCAACCTTGGCTCTTTTATGACTCGTGGACTTCAACTCCCAGAATTCCTGAGCCAGCATGGCTCAGCTTGGAAACCTCTCCCTTTTCCCTCAGCATGGCTGGCTCAGGAATTCTGGGAGTTGAAGTCCACGAGTCATAAAAGAGCCAAGGTTGCCTACCCCTGATATAGGCTGTGAGAATTTGATTGATTGATTCACTTTCATTATATACATGCACTGCCCTACCTTGTAAAAACCTCTGAGGTCCCTCCTAACTCTGCTATTCTGTTAAGAGAGCTTGAAAGTTGGGCTTAAGGTGTGCTCATTCAACCCTGTTGGATCACTTCATGGCCTCCCCTCCTACCTCAACGGCACCATTTTAAGAACAAGATGGAAAGAAATCCACATTATGAATGAATGGTCTGGAAATAATAAGGGAGATCACCAAGAGAGCTTGTGAGTATAATCCCTGCTTGATCTGATTGACACACGGATTTCTCTCTTCTCAACCGATCCAGAAAATCACTTCCGAGATGGCAGATTTCCTACAGGCTTTGCGGCAAAAGGTGAAAGTCGGCGTGGTGGGAGGCTCAGACTTCGAAAAGATTCAAGAACAGCTGGGCGAGGACGGTAAGTAGAAGGTGAAGGTGTGGGAAGCCGATCCAGGAGTGGCAAAATTGATGAATCGCCATTATGGGTTGGGCGGCTGTTCTCACCTCCTTTATTGCATTCACTTCTGAGGTCAGCGGGTTCAAATACCAGGTATGGCTGTCAGCCAAGCAGATAGAAGAACGTGCCACGTGGCAACGGGCATGCCTTAAATTGAATTATTCCTATTTTCAGATTGGAAAAACCGTGTGGCTTGAAATCGGGGCAGGAAATCTCTCCACAGCTTTTCAGCCCTGTGGCTAATTAGCATCTGTGAATTTAGAGAGAGACTGTCTTTCTGAGAAAGAAACCTTAAGAGAAAACAGAGCTGCTGATTGGATAAACAGTTTGTGCTGCGCCCAAAGTCACAGTTTGGGAGACATTATTATTTAATGGTGACTTTATTACAAGGGCTTGTAACTTGCCAGGAGAAGAAATTTACACCATCAGCAGAATACGGAGTCTAAAAGAGGTATTGGAAGAAGGAGGAGTGGTTTGAATTTTTCATGCCAAAAATGGTTTTTCAAAAATGGTTTTCAGCTTTACGAAAAGAAGAGTTAAAAATAACATGCAATTAATAAAGGGCATTGGAAAGGGAATCCATTATTCCAATATAGCTCGCCTGATACGCCAGTTGCGCCCCTTTCTGGATCGGGACGCCCTACGCACGGTCACTCAAGCCCTCGTTGTTTCCCGCCTGGACTATTGCAATGCTCTCTACATGGGGCTCCCCTTGAGGTGCACCTGGAGGCTCCAGCTAGTTCAGAATGCGGCCGCGCGGGGGATTTTGGGGGCGTCTAGATACTCCCATGTAACATCTCTCCTGCGCGAGCTGCACTGGCTGCCGGTGGCCTTCCGGGTACGCTTCAAGGTGTTAGTAACAACTTTTAAAGCCCTCCATGGCAATGGACCTAGGTATTTGCAAGACCGCCTCCTACCAAATATCTCCCTTCGACCAGTCCGCTCCCACAGAGAGGGCCTCCTTAGGGTGCCGTCGGCCAGTCAATGCCGGCTGGCGACCCCCAGGGGGAGAGCCTTCTCTGTGGCAGCTCCTGCCCTCTGGAATGACCTACCCCCCGACCTACATACAACTACGGACCTGCGCCTCTTCCGCCAAGCCTTGAAAACCCATCTATTCCATGCGGCCGGCCTGGCGTAGTTTTGATTGGGCTTTGCTAGGGGTTTTATATTTTAGAGCAGGCTTTTATGTAATATTTACTGTGATTTTTATTATTGCCTGTTCACCGCCCTGAGTCCCGTAAGGGAGATAGGGCGGTATATAAATTTAAATAATAAATAATAAGTAAAATAAATAGAAATGGCACTTAGAATCAAGTGGTAGAAATACCTGGCAGAAGAGAGACATCTTGACTTAATGCCAAAAATGCACCAAGTTGGATGTTAGGTGGGCTTTTGGGGGGGGGGGAACAAGGGTGCCAGAATAACCCCCAATGAGGACGTTCCTTAGCTTCCTTTGTTTAGTGGTTTATTATATTTATTCAAGCTTTCAAGTGCTTTAGATTTAAAGGCAGACAGAATCTTCAAATCATCCTTTGGTATTTTAAGGTGCAAACTCCTTAAAACAGCCGTCCCTTTTACCAGAATTGGCAATGTAATCTGAGAAAAAGATGTATCTATACACTACTAACATTCTTGTTACCCTGACTTTTAAGTGGGCAAAACGGTGAATCATAGGGCAACAGTTTTTGAGCCAAGGTCTCAAACTTACAGAATGTATCCAAAGTCTGGGACCCAGGACTCCTGAGGGAATGAAATTTGGGGGGGTTGCAGTCCTTCAGTGCTACTAACTGCTGCTACATTTTCAACTTTCTGTGACAGTTTCTTCATTTTCAACTTTCTGTGACAGTTTCCCAGCCAGTCTTGCAATCCCTTGCCCCTCCCTTACCCAGCAGCAGGCACTTGCTTGCCTGCTGCGAAGGGGAGGGAGGGAGGAAGGGAGGAAGGAAGGAAGATTTCTGATGTTCTCCACCACATTTCCACAAGGAAAATCATTGGGGAAGACAGCAGGAAGTCGAAGGTCCCTCTTGCTCCCACTGCTTTTTTGCCCATCCTTTGTCATTTTGTTTCTCTGTTTAAGTAAGGCAGTATCTCTGAAACTATGACTCGGTGGGGCGCGGATTGTCTAGTTTAGTTTAAGGGTCTGCTGATAGCTGATATTAAGGGCTACAAGACACCTTCTTGCCTTCAAATTTGCTACTGCACAACTCCCCTTGCCCCATCCCCTTTCCTCCAGACAATTTGTCTTCACAGCAACCCTTTGAGGGAGGCTGGCTGAGAGATACAGACCAGATCAAAGCGAACATTGATTTGAACTTGGAGATAAACCTATTCCAAAGAGGGGGGTGGCACCCACCCTGCCAGCTTCATTTTCAAAGATACTGTTTGGTTTATTTGGGGCCTGGAGTCATTTTTGTACAATAAATAAACATGATGTTAAAAACTGTCACTCTGCTTTGTAACACACCAGTTCTCTGTGGAATTTTTGTCATCTGGAGACACAGAGATTGTCAGTTATTCTTGGGCATATTTACCGCACATCCTCATGTAATCAATTTGCCCAATTGCTTTGAGGTGTCTGTACAGACTTTTTTTTAAAAAAAAAAAAAATCAGGTGCTTTATGAATTCAGAGGGGGGAATAGGAAAGAAGATTTTTTCTGTTAATTTCGTGGAAATTTTCTCTGAGTAAATAATAAAAATTAAAGCTCCTTTGTTTGTTTGTTTTTCTTCTCTTTTTTTCTGGAGGGCAGTGGTTGGAAAATATGACTATGTTTTCCCGGAAAATGGTCTGGTATCATACAAAGATGGAAAACTTCTTCATATACAGGTTTGTAAGTTAGGATCAACTGACATATTGTGTAGCATCTGATATTTTGATATTAATGCAGGATTAGACCTTAAGGCAGGGGTAGGCAACCTTGGCTCTTTTATGACTTGTGGACTTCAACTCCCAGAATTCCTGAGCCAGCCATGCTGAGGGGAAAGGGAGAGGTTTCCAAGCTGAGCCACGCTGGCTCAGGAATTCTGGGAGTTGAAGTCCACAAGTCATAAAAGAGCCAAGGTTGCCTACCCCTGCCTCAAGCAGTGCTTCCCAAACTTTTTCCTCATTACCCAAAGCCACCTTGAACTTTGAAGACTAATCATAAAACCCTTTCTTCAGCACTGCCATCACTTCAGTCACTGAATAAATGATCGTAACTCAAGGACTAAAAGAGAGCTCAAAAGAGACTAAAAGAGAGGACTAAAAGAGAATTCAAATGAACATTTTATCTTAAAAATTCTCACAATCTTTAACCAGTCCTCATATTCATTAAAAAATACATGGAATTCAAACAGAGAAGGATATAATGTTTGAGTACAGCATATCACACTGAGAGATTTTTTGTTACCAGGATAAATATCAGAGACCTGAAATCAAAAAAACCAAGGGGGTCCTAAAAGTGATAAGAGGGAAGAAAAGTATATGCACAAAACTTTCTTGGAACAGAATGTTCTGGAGAAGTCCAGAACATTATGATCCCTTTTCTCTAAACCCTACTTTTCTGGCAGTTTTTCTCAAATTAATCTTGGTGCAGTGTGAAAAGAAGTGGAGTGTTCCATTTTCAGGGATTGTTTCAGGTGAAAATCCGCTTAAACTGATTTATTGCTAATCATGCAAGAATCTCCTTAACTAGCGGTTAGCCCCTGCAAGAGTCAAAGGAATTCAAGGCAGGGGGGGTGGTGGTGTCTGGACTTAATTTTTTTGTGGCTATGAAATGATGCTAGTCTGATTCCTCTTTTAACTCTGCCCCCAAATTCTATCACTCCTTCACCTTTGTACGCCCCTCAGAAAGAAGGCTTCCTTCATTTGTCAGTTATAGGTTGTCTTCGACCTACAACTTCTTAATTAATTGTAGTATTTAGGTATTTTTTGACTGTTTAGCTTTGTTGTGCGGCACCAGTCACTTGCTTGACGAGATGGGCAGTTGATAAATTGGACAAATAACTAGCTAACTAAAATACTTTGAGATTGAAACAGTCCAGACTCCCATTTGGGGCTTCTCCAAATGTACAAGGCAAGGGGTCACTCTGGCCTCAGAAGAGCCTCTTTTGGGGTTCAGAACCTGTCAACCTTGAAAGGTTTTTGCACATCTCTAACTCTGGCTCTGCTCCACGGCTGCTCCACAGAACACACCAACAGAAATGCCTCTCCAACCAGGGCAGAATTCACCTATGGAATGGTTGGCCCAAAGATGTGAGAATGGCTCACGTATAGGTGGATTTAAAATCAATTAAGTCCCGGAGGGTGATGGACCTGAAGGAAAGGTTGCAGCACGGAGAATATCCGTTCGCTTTTCTGAGAAACACTCTGTTCCTCCCTCAGGTCTCCCTCTCCAGAAGGCCTTCTTAGTTTAATTTAACATAATCTAATTTATGATAATTTGCCTTTATTTGACAGGTTGGTTGCCTGTTTTGGTGTATTCTGTTTTGGCGTATTGGATGTCCCCATTTGTCACTTAATTTGGCAACAGTAGTGAATGGTGAAAGGTATACTGTTCTTTTGCAAAAAAGAAAAGAAAAGAAAAGATGTTTAGCTGCGGTGAGAGACACGGTGGACTTTTAGCCTAGTCGTGGCTGCTGAACCCGTGTAAAAATCACCCTGTGGGGACCTTGCCCATCTGATCCCTGCCTGGTCAGTAAGAATCCCCCAGATTCAGGAAGAAAAAGTCCTCCAAAGCTTTGAGAAGTAGAACCCAGGAAGTATTTTGTCTTGAGAGTTGCTTCTTGGGGTTTGGGACTCTGGCATGATTCTTCTTTGCGTCTTCTGGGCAGAGCATCCAAGACCATATGGGGGAAGAGCTGCTCCAGGATTTGATCAACTACTGCCTGAGCTACATTGCAAAAATTAAGCTCCCCAGGAAAAGGTATGTGCATTTGTGCTTTATAGTCCTCAGCTTATGACTGGCCACTTAGTGACAGTTCAGAGTTATGACTGACTTCCCCAGGGGTACTTATGAACCAACTCCAAAGTTACAACAGCAACAGGATGGTCATATGACTGCATTTAGGGCACTTGGCAAGTAGCCTGCATTTAATTTTTAAAAAAAAACTAAATTGAAATTTTTAATTTGTCAAATGAAAATTACAATTTCGAATGAGCAAAATGGAAAAACATTAAAATGTGACAGGGGTGATAGGCATGTCAGTGCACTTACTTATGAGTGCCCCTTTAGGAACCTCTTAAATGTGAGGTCCACAGAAGTTAAATTAGAATTAAAACTGCGAACGTTAGTAGCTGAGACAACTGAATTGAGTAAATGTTCCAGACTTTGACAACTCTGACAAAGAAATCTAATGTTTGCAGTCAGGTTTAAAGTGGTTTACATTAAATTTAAAGCGATTGTTTACATGCATTGCGTTACAATTAATACTAAAAAAAAGTCATTTACAGGTAAAAATGTTACTATTTACAACCATTTGCAGCATCCCATGGTCATATAACAACAGCATTTTAGAATGTTTTTGCTGAAAATTGACATTTACTTCAGTTTTTCAGCACAACCAGCCCATAGTAAACAATGGATTTGCTTTACAACTGTGGTGGTCACGTAACAAACACTGCAGAAAAGGTCATAAAATTGGGTCTCTGCAACAGTCACAGTTTGTGACCCTAATGGTCAGGCTCCATTACAATTGTAAGCTGAGATTACTCATATGTAACTCTTCCTTGGAAAAGGCGCATGGTAACTATTTCGTTTAGTATTTCCTGAGAACTCTGCAACATCAGACCACAGTGTTTTGAACACAGCACCCTGGGCAAGCCACAGCATGAAAGTTAGAGCCTCCTCTGGCTTTTGTTACACAGCGAGTCAAGCAAAGAGTGCGTCACCTTCTCATCCTTGACAAAATAATTAACCAATATCACATGTCTTCCTCCGTGCAAAATAAAGATGTCAATCTGGATTTATGTAAAAAAAACCTCCCAGTACAGAATAAACTAGCTAATCAGAGAAGGGACCCCGATAAATATCTCTTGAATGCTAGCTTTCTATTGCAAGGCCCTTGTATGGAGAAAATGCAGTCCTGCAGCTACAATAAACAAGGGGAACACTGCCTCCCTGGTCCTTTTTGTGCAATATGGCTCTTGAACATTATAGTTTGTGCTAGAAACACCCTAAAAATGGATAGATTCCCTTTGGTTATTATGCGGTTACTCTGGTGGAGTGCGGCTCAATCAGAATAGAGGTGGAAGAGACCAGGGAGGTCTTCTAGTCTGACCCCCTGCTCAAGCAGGAGACACTATACCATTTCAGATAGGTGGTTGTCCAGTCTCTTCTTGAAAACTGACAGCGATGGAGCACCCACAACTTCCGGAGACAAGCCATTCCACCGATTAATTATCCTCACTGTTAAGGAAGTTTCTCCTTAATTCCAGGTTGCTTCTCTCCTTGATTAGTTTCCATCCATCGTTTCTTGTCCTGCCTTCAGTGCTTTGGGAAATAAGTTGACCCCCCTCTTTTTTGTGGCAGCCCCTCAAATTCTGGAATACTGCTATCATGTCCCCTGTAGTCCTTCTTTCCTCTAGACTAGCCATATCCAGTTCCTGTAATCGCCCTTCATATATTTTTGTCTCCAGTCCTTTAATCATCCTAGTTGCTCAAATCAAATCATTCTAGCTGAAAGTCCTGGGTGTGTGGTTCCAACAACCACAGAGGATTTAGGCCAGTCCCTCTCTCTCAGCCTAAGCCACCTCACAGGGCTGTTGTGCGGAAAATAGGAGGAAGGAGAAGGGAAAAAATGTGTGTGTGTGTGTTCACTGCCTTGAATTATTTGTAAAAGTAATAAAGGCAGGAAAAAGTCACTTATATCTGCCGTCCCCTCGCCCAGGGGGCTTGGTTTATTCTGTCCTCCAACTATATATACATGGTCTTTTTCCCCCCTCTTTTTTTAGGGGCACTTTCATTGAATTCCGAAATGGGATGCTAAATGTTTCCCCCGTTGGCAGAAGCTGTAACCAAGTGGAACGGATGGAGTTTTTTGAGCTCGATAAGGCAGGTGATGGGCTCGCGTTTGATCCTTCCGGTGCCTTCTTAGTCATCTGGAGTGTTTTGGGGGGGGGGAGGCAGGAATTGAGTCAGGTTTTAGGCCTCAGTGAACCATAGCTGAGCAATTTTTGCATGCAGGAAATCCTTGTGTTACAACCGTAATGGCACCCGCCCATCATGGTTGGAACTCGTGATGGTTGTAGAGCAGGGCGGTGACTGGCCCAATTCTCCGACATTTTTGTGGCAGTCACTAAGCGAATCCACAGTTGTTAAGCAAATGCTGCCATTCTTAAGTGAACCAATGGTTTATTGTAGGGGGGGCAGTTTTACCGAAAACCATAAGTTGAAAACAATAACTTGTAAAATGAGGTCACGTGATTGCCTGATTGCCAAAGCCCTGAACTTCTGTCATGTGACCGCAGGGGGCCCAACTATTGGGACCTCAGATCTGGGTCACAAGTATCCGCCTGGTAGGTCCATCGGAATTTCAAACAGTCACTAAGCAAGCGGTCATAAGTTGAGGACTGCCTGTATTGGGGTATTTTAAGAGATGTGACGGGTGGACAAAACCAGTTATTTCACCATTCAAGCATCTACCCAAATTCCCAGAAATTGATTAGACATTTCTGGGAAACTGCGAATACAGGTAGCCCTTGGTTTACAATAGTTTGTTTAGTGACCGTTCGACGTTACAACAACACTGAAAAAAGTGACTTATGACTGTTTCTCACACTGACGACCATTGTAGTATCCCCACATGATCAAAATTCTGAGTCACAGGACACTTATGTGTCCCGGGATCATGTGATCAGCTTTTGCGACCTTCTGACAAGTAAAATCAATGGGGGAAGCCCAATTCACTTTGCGACCGTGTTACTCGCTTAACAACGGCAGTGATTCACTTAACAACTGTGGCCACAAATGTCGTAAAAACTCACTTAACAAATGTCTCACAACGACAGAAATTTTGTGCTTGATTGTGGTCATAAGACAAGGACTATCTAGAGGTTGAGGGCCTCATGGTACCATTTCTGAAGCTGGTCTGTGGGGCACAGACATGGAATTGTGGGATTACAGTGCAAATCTCGTGTGCTCAGAAGTACCGTATTTATCGGCGTATAACACGCACTTTTTCCCCCTGAAAATAGGGGGCAAATGATGTGTGCGTATTATACGCCGATATAATGTTAAGAAGTGGTAATAATATTAATAAAAAAAAGTTCTGAGCTACCCTTATTTTGCTTCAAAGTTCTTTATTTGAAATTTAAGTTTTTTTCCTGAAATTTCCCTCTTAAAATGAAGGTGCGTGTTATACGCCTGTGCGTGTTATACGCCGATAAATACGGTAGTTGCCTTTGAATTCGGTTGAATTACACCCAAGTAACTACATTTGTGCTAGCTATTTATTAGTTGTGTTGATGATTGTCAGTCCCACCAACTGGTTCCACCAGACTAGACTAGGAAATCAGTTCCACAAGAAGGCTAACATTTATATTTATTGAGATTGGCTGATTGGTTTTCAAAATTATAGTGTATATGCATAATTCGTTGCCGTTATTTCGAACTTTTGTAAGGGGTGGGAGAATATATCAGAAACGTTCTAGGAGTGCGGGGTATAAAAAAGGTTGGGAACCGCTGCTCTACAATGACATAGTCATAGAATGTTATCTTGGTGTAAATTATTTTGTGATTGTGGCATCAGGCTATTGGAAAAATCATCTTTTCTCCTAAACTGATGGGTTTTTTTTTTAATTTCTTGAACAGAGGGAACAGATCCGGGAGAGATTTGTTGCTGATTTACGTCGTGACTTTGCCGGAAAAGGCCTTACGTTTTCCATAGGTACCACTTTTTAAAGAACAGAAGTAGCTGCATTCAGAAAGTATCCTAATTGCCTGAAGATCCAAAAAATACTAAGGGAAGACCCTCTTCTCTTCTGTGCCAGCCTAGTGGATGGTCTGTTTTCGGAGGAAAAAGCTCCATTGTTTCTCAGCCAGTGTGAAGAGAAAACAGCCTGTCTCTTTTGCTGGTTTTCTCCCATTGGCTGTTTTCCAGGGGTGCTCAGAATCCCTCTGGGATTTAAAACCCATTTCAGGTGGAGGTCACCAAGTTGCATAAAACCAGGCTGACTTGGCAGTGCAGGTGGTCCTCAACTTACGACGGCAATTGGGGGCCACAATTTCCATTCGCAAACAATGTGGTTGAAAAGCATAATGTCACATGACCACATTGCTTAGCAGGAATAATCCCTGCAGTCCACATTGCTGTCTCCTTTTTATAATTCAGCAAGCATTGTGGGCCATACAGTGAGGACCTCCTCACAAAGCCCTGTTGCTTTCAACAAGCAAAGTCAGTGAGGGGGGCCGAGCACCTGGGCAGGAAAAACCAAAGGTACAAGTACAGATTAGGCAAAACCTGGCTCACAAACAGGAACTGTGAGAGGGACCATGGAGTCCTAGTGGACGATCACTTAAACCTGAGTCAGCAGCTAAAAAAGTTAATACAATCCTCGGTTGTATAAATAGAGGCATAGAATCAAAATCATGTACCACTTTATAAAGCCTTAGTAAGGCCACATCTGGAATACTGCACCCAGGTTTGATCACATTACAAAAAAGATGTTGAGACTTTGGGGGAAAAGTGCAAAGAAGAGCAACTAAAATGATTAAAAGCCTAGAGACTAAAATAAAGAACGGTTGCAGGACTTGGGTTTGGCTAGTCCAGGGGTAGGCAACCTTGGCTCTTTTATGACTCGTGGACTTCAACTCCCAGAATTCCTGAGCCAGCCACGCTGAGGGAAAGGGAGAGGTTTCCAAGCTAAGCCATGCTGGCTCAGGAATTCTGGGAGTTGAAGTCCACAAGTCATAAAAGAGCCAAGGTTGCCTACCCCTGGGCTAGTCTAAAGAAAAGAAGAAATAGGGGAGACATGATAGCAGCATTCCAGTATTTGAGGGGCGGCCACAAAGAAGAGGGCATCAAACTATTCTCCAAAGCACCAGAGGGCAGGACAAGAAACAGTGGCTGGAAATTGATCAAAGAGAGAAGCAACCTGGAATTAAGGAGAAACTTCTTGACAGTGAGAACAAGTAACCAGTGGAACAGCTTGCCACCAGAAATCGTGGGCACTCCATCACTGGAGGTTTTTAAGAAGAGACTGGACAGTCACTTGTCTGAAATGGTATAGATTCTCCTGCTTGAGCAGGGGGCTGGACTAGAAGACCTCCAAGGTCCCTTCCAGCTAATTCTGATTGAAAAAGTTTCAGGTGCCAGGCAGCTTTGCAAACAGGCCAGTGGCTGGAAAAGTGGTGGCAGCTGAATTTGCACGTGCCCAGGGAGGCAGAGGATCAGCCCAGCAAGGCCTGGGGACAATGTATGTACGGGGGAGACTTAAACCAAGTGATATGGGACCTTTCCTGCCAGCCTCCCCATTGACTTTGCTTGTGGGAAGCTGGCAGGGAAGATCACAAAGGATGAATCATGTAGCCATTAGATGCTGCAACCAGCCACAAAAACAAACTGGTTGCCCAGCTCCGGAATATTTTCATGTGGCAGCAAGGATGTTGCAGTGGATGGAACCTCAAGGACTGTTCGTAAGTCCCTTTGTTCAACGCCGTTGTAACATTGAACAGTTACTATACTAGTGTCGGTAAGTGAGGAGCACCTCTAGCAGAATGCAAGTTGTTGCCCCTTTCGCAAACAAAACAGCAAAAATGTCCAGTGTTGGTGTCAGAATCAGATGTACGGACAGTGGAAATGCAACTGAGATGCTGAGTTTTGGAAGATGCAACTAATATTTGCTGATTAAAACTGAGATTGTTGAGGGATGTGACAGCTCAAGAGTTGCAGAGATGACGATGACCATCATCCACCAAAGGATTGCGGTCTTAGCCTGCAATTGTGTAGAAATTAATTATTATTTAAGATTTAATCTTCAGTTTGATTCACAGTTTGGGACTGGTAAAAACCTAACAGTTCAAGGACCCAACAGCTTTTAAAGTAGTGTCTGGGTATATAGGCAGTTCTGAGTAAGGTGTTTTTTTTTTTGCAAAGTCAGGGTATTCAGGTCTAATGTTGTTGTAACAGCCAGCCAGCTGATCAGACTGGATATGGCATTTTTGTCCACCTACCAAGTCCTTCCCAAAGACTTGGGATAAGCAGTTGTTGTTGTTATTATTCTCCTTTAACAATATGTAGCACAAAAAAAGAACAGCAGAGTTTCAACTATCCAATAAATTTAGCTCAGAAAGCACTAAACAAATGCTGACCTGAAAGCAGCACATTTAAAAACAATGTCCTGGAATAAGATGAAATATTAGTATATTCATAATAATTGACAAGCTGAGAGCTGGTGGCATTTCCCTATTGGGCCTTCCCCACTGAAGCTCCAGCTTCAAGGGAAGAAATCTGGTATCTCACATGCACACACACACACAATCACACCATTGCTAGCCTTCCGGGTGGGCTCTTTCACGGCTGAAAAGTTTATGTAAATTGTTCAGGTTTACTGTGAGGTGCAGAGGCTCTCCAGGATCCCCACCTCTTCAGAGACATGTGCACAGGACTATATATAAAGGTAGCCCTTGATTTATGACTAGGGAAATCCAGGTCACGGTTGTCCCAAAGATGCTTTTTCAGGAGGCAACGGGACTTCCTGTCAGAACTCGTATCTATCATATTTCATACTTCCCTGGATCCTAAAGCACCCCGACCCAGATAAGCCGTTCGTAATCCAAGCCGATGCAAGTGACGTAGAAGTAGGGGCAGTATTGCTGCAGAAAAACGACAAGGGGCAGCTACACGTCCAGAAAGCTCTGACACGGAGCAACGTTGGGCAGTGTGGGAAAAAGAGGCGTACGCCGTAAGGTGGGCACTCCTCACCTGGCGGCACTTCCTGGAAGGGAACAAAATCCCATTCCAGGTCTGGACAGACCGTAAGAACTTAGAAGCACTAAAAATGCCCAGAAAGCTCAGCCCCAAACAAGTCTGGTGGTCACAACACTTCCACCGGTTTACATTCAAAATCAAACACTTGCCAGGGGGGAGGAATTTCCTGGCAGATACCCTATCCCGCATGCCCTACTACAATAGCTCCCGGCCAACCATCACCAAGCCGCTCATGCCGGAAGCGCAGCTGGCATGCAAGTAACCACAAAGAGCTCAGGCAAAACGAAAGCAACTGGTAGCCAGCCAAGCAGGGATAGAATTCAGGAAGGCTCTAGAAACCGACCAATGGTTCCAGAGCCACAAAAGCTTTTCAGCTCTGACTGAAGCTCCATTCCCCCCCCCCATCCAGTCAGAGCTGAAGAAGCTTCTTGGATGAGAAGCGAAACGTCTTCAAAGAGAAACAAGAAAGTCCAGTTGCCTTTCTGAAAAAGCATCTTTGGGACACCTTTGATTTATGGCCCCAATTTACATTGCTGAGCAAAGCGATTGTTAAGCGAGTCTCACCTGATTTTACAGCCTTTTATGCACACCTGTTAAGCGAATCACTGCAGTTGTTAAAGTGAGTCACATGGTCATTAAGTGGATCTGGCTCCCCCTCCCCATTAACTCTGCTCGTGGGAAACTGTCTGGGAAGATCACAAATGAAGATCATGTGTGCCTGGGACCCTGCAGCTGTCCTAAATACATGTCAGTGGCCAAGTGCCCTAATTTTGGTCTCCTGACTGGGGGGAAGGGGGGCTGCAGTGGTCATAAGTGCAATAAGTCCCTTTTTTCAGGGCTGTTGTAACTACGAAGGGTCGCTAAACAAACGATCGTAAATCAAGGGCTACCTATAATCTATCGCAGCTTCATAACTGACCAGAGATGTCCCACCGAGGGCTTGGAGTTTTGGAAACCCTGGAATTTTCCCCATTAGAGGAAAATTAGAGGGACATTTGAGCCAGGAATGCCACCATTTATGGTCAGGGCTGAACGCTCTTTTGGGTTCATTCATGGGCTCCTGCGTTCTGCGTCTTTGGATTTTTGTTCCATTCGGAGCTACCCTTGCTCAAATCAGCTCCGTCACTTCTGTTGCTCAGCCCACCCATCCCACTCCTCTCCTCTCTTTTGTCTCTGCAGGAGGGCAGATCAGCTTTGACGTCTTCCCCAACGGTTGGGACAAACGGTACTGCTTAGGAATTGTTGCCCAGGACAACTTCGAACAGATCTATTTCTTTGGAGATAAGACCATGCCGGTGAGTAGGGAACCATAAGAGGTTAGAATGCAGTATTGCAGGCTATTTCTGCTGACTGCCGGCTGCCAGAAGTTTGGCAGTTCGATCCTGACTGGCTCAAGGTTGACTCAGCCTTCCATCCTTCCGAGGTCGGTAAAGCACTGTAAAGCGGTATATAAGTCTAAGTGCTATTTTCCTTCCTTCCTGCCTGCCTGCCTGCCTGCCTGCCTGCCTGCCTGCCTGCCTGCAATATTGAGGGCTGACTTTGCCCACAGTCAGAAGTTTGAACCTGACCACTCAGAGTGGACTCAGCTTTCCATCCTTCTGAGGGCAGCAAAGTGAGGACCCAGATTGTTGGGGGGCAAAAGGCTGACTCTGGTGTAAACCACTTAAGAGAGGGCTGCAAAGCATTATGGGGCAGTATATACGTCTAAGTGCTATTGCTATTGCACAGCCTTGTGCTGCTTTGGGGCCACAGCATTGGGGGGTGGGCTTCCAGATTCCAAATCTACCCTTCAGACCTGAGTTCTCCTGCCATCCAGGCCCTGTCTAGCTTCTTAATGTCAGCCACAGCCAGATCTAAATGTACAGCAGTACCTTCTCTCTTTTTTTTTTTTTTGCAAACTGAGCTGATTACAAATTGCGGCAGTTAAGCAGAGTGGCAAGGGATGGCCTCCTTATTTCAATGAAACATTTGAAATAATGAAAAGGAAACCTGGTTGGGGTTTTTTTGCAAGTAAACCACTGCAATCTTTTATGAACACATTAAGGGGGGGAAACTTCTCTTCCACACCTAGTCCTCTACTTACCAACCACAATTGGGACCAGGATTTCAGTCGCTAAGCTAGGTGGTTGTTAGGTGAGTTGCAACCCATTTTAGACCTTCTTTTGCCACGGTGAAGCAAATCAGTGCAGTTATTGAATGAATCACATGGCCATTAAACAAATCCAGATTTCCCCACTGACTTTGCTTCTCGGAAGCCAGCTGGGAAGGTCGCAAATGCGAACACGGGACCCTGGGAGACCGCAGCGGCCGTAAACCTGTGACGGATGTCAGGTGCTCGAATTTGGATCGTGTAACTGTGGATACTTTGATGGTCAAAAGTGTGAGGACTGGTCTTGCCCCTTTTTCAGCGCTGTTGTAACTTTGAACGGTTGCTAAACATAGCGTTGTAAGTCAAGGACTACTTGCACAGATGATCCTTGACGTACGGCCCCAATTGAGCCCAAAATTTCCGTTGCTAAGCGAGACAGTTGTTGGGTGAGTGTTGCCCCATTTTGCAACTTTTCTTGCCCCAGTTGTTAAGTGAATCAGTGCAGTTAATCAAACAAAATCTGGCTTTCCTATTGACTTTGCTTATAAGAAGGTCGCAAAAGGGGATCACATGACCCCGGGACACTGCGACCGTCATAAATGTGAGTCAGTTGCCAAGCATTTGAATTTTGAACACGTGGTCATCGGGATGCTGCAATGGTCATAAGTGTGGAAAATGGTCATAAGTCACTTTTTTCAGTGCTGTTTTAACTTCAGATGGTCACTAAACTAAAAGTTGTACGCTGAGGACTACTTTCATAGAACTTTTCCCTCTGGAACATAGCTGCTGAAAATCGGAACAGAAATCTTAGCAGGAATATCCTGGGCTATTTGTTCATTTCCTGGGCAAAGTGGGCTGAGAGCCTTTTTTTCCTTCTGCCGTTTCATGGGATCAATTTCTTCCATTGTTCGTCTCCTTCGCAGGGCGGGAACGACTATGAAATTTACACGGACCCCAGAACCCTCGGGCACAGCGTCTCTTCGCCTGAGCAGACGAAGGAGATATGCGAAGCCTTGTTTTTCAAATAGATCGCGGACTGCCTTTGCACCGAAGGGACGCAAGCCGGGTTCAGGACCACGATTCGAATCCAAATCATGGAAATCGGGGAAAGGGTTAGGGTAGCTTCAGGAATGGGGTTGTGGGGCGCTCCAATTATCCCTTTTGTCCCCTGGGCTGCTCTGAGCCATTGCACAAGGCTACGCTTTCTTCCCCTCTACTTAAGGGACAGTCTTGGGTTTGCATCATGCATTCTGCCCTAAACCAGGATTCCTAATTCATCTCTGCACAAACTTGGTTCCCCAGAATAAAACAGCCCGTTTGATGGCTTAGTGCAGTTTGTGGATCAGCTCCGTCTTGGGAAGGAAACAGCCATTTTCCATGGAGAAAGGAGAGGAGGGGAGGTCTTATGAGTGAAGTCACTTCGAATCTTGTTTGGGAGTCTTCTAACTTTGGGGGACGAGTCCTAATCACAGAGACCTTTTCCCAGCACCTGCAGGATTTTCTTGGTCTCCCAAGGCCCCTTTCAGATGGCCCTTGTCCCCCCATCAATTTGTGGGAACAGCTCATGTGACTTGCACAGCTTCACATGTGCCTGTTGGGTAAGAAATACGCCACTGGCCAAAAATACACAATCCAGGCTGTTAATGACTTTCTACGGCTGAGTAATTCTTAAACTCTACTGTTGAGTCATGATTCAGTTTTCCTCCTACAGAATAAGAATATTCTTGTTCCAATGATGTTTGGATGTCTTCTGAAGGAAGTTGGCTGACACCGTGCTTGTGCCTTCCATTCTCGTGCCATGCCTGCAATCTGACCAGCCCCACAGTTTGTAGAGCCTTTTTTGGAAAGATAGTCCAAAACATCTGGAGAATGTCATTTGGGAAGCCAGGTTTAGAGAGATGCCCTTACTTTTCCCTGAGTCCACCTGTGTTCTGAACCGTTCTTGAACCTGGGACAGTGTTCGATGCTTCTCTTTTATGTTTGGAATTTAATGCACTGGAGAAAGACTGGAGGGTTTTCAAGTCTAACAAATCAGCAAGGTTGATCTGGAATGAGGTTTCTGGAAACTGTACTGTACTGTATTTCTGGATCAAGCTGGATCCTCTCTGATTAAAATCTCTGTGAATCGTTTGCATTTTCTGTCCAGTCTTTGATCTCCAGGGGCTTCTCTTTCCACCCCTGAATCCAGAAACGGATGTTGCCGTTCCTGAGGTTTTGAGATGACCGGAACCATCAGGACCCTCAAGAACTCTTGAACCTGACTTTAAAAATTAGGATCGGCATTATGCTGCCTTTTGAGAAGTTTGGAGTCTGCCTTTTAATCAAACTGGAAGGAGAAAAACTCTTATGCAAAGTTGGCTTTAAAATTAAGACCCTGCTCAATTAACCTAACTGATCCTTTGAAAGAAGGAGAACCAAATTCGTCACACTCAAAACATTGATGGTTCCTGAATAAACCACAGGAAGTTGGATTTGTTCCCTTGTTGGGAGCAAACCAGGTTTTGGTTCGTTTAAACTTCTGTAATATCGGTTTAGTTCAGGATCTCAAGGGAAACTAAATGGTGCTCCTTCCTTCCAAGTCACAAAATATTTGCTTTATACTTAAAGCAAAAGACCATTTTTAAAAAAGTATGTTGGATCCTAATTTTGTGCCAGGAAAAATCATTAATTTTGCCCTATTGTGCTGTCATCATTTTCATATTTTTAGGCAGTCGCTATATACCTTCCTACAGAAACATAAATATGATCTTATTAGGAATTATTTACAACAGGGGTCCCCAGTCCCCAAGCTGCAGACCGGTCCCGGTCCATGGCCTGTTAGGAACTGCACCACACAAGCAAGCAAAGCTTCATCTGCACGTGTGGGATCTAAGTTGCACATGAAACCATTCCCCCCTACACACACACACACACACACACTGGTCTGTGGAAAAACTGTTTCCCACAAAACTGGTCCTTGGTGCCAAAAAGGTTGGAAACTGGTGGTTTACAACACATATTCAGATTTTATCAATTTAAAGTTATGGTTTTAAGTTTCTAGCATCCTGCAGCACATTTATGCCTCAGGAAGCATATATATATATATATATATATATATATATATAAGCATGATTTACTGTAATCATAGCTCTGTAATTAAGATACAGGAATACCTGGTAAACGTACAACTTTTCAATTTTTTACTTGAAATATTTAACTCTTGTAGGAGGAGAGCCAGGTTAGTAGCAAAAACCAGGAGTCTCTTTAACACCTGGAACCTCTCTCTGGCACCTTTAAAATGGGTGGACTTCAACTCCCAGAATTTTGGCAGAGTTGAAGTCCACCCATCTTAACGCCGTGAAGGTTGAGAAACACTGCTTTAGACAAACACGTTTTATCAAAAAGCAAAACTGTTGGTGAACTGCAGTGCACTTGAGCATTTTTTAAAAATACGTAATGTCAAAATGGCATCTTTGTGACTCCTTGCAGAAAACTCCTTACTGAAATCTCAGCGTCCAGGGTGTAGACGTTGGGGAGTGGGTGGGGTGGGCTTCTGCATCCTTCCCATTTCCAGGAGAGTGTAATTAATCTCAATTAGGCAAATGTAGAGGAATGTAGCAAGAATGTCCCCAATTCAGGAAGAAGGAAATGGACTCGGCTTCCATATAAGCCAAGAGATACCATAAATAAAATAGTTCAGCATTGCATAGATAGAGAGAAGTGGGAAGTTGTGAACTCCCACAGTTGTTTTCTTAAACCAGCCAGCAAGTCCATGGAATGCATTTCCTGCCAGTTAAAGGAGGGGAAATGGCAAAAGAGGAATAAACAGCACAGAGTTATCAGAAATATGGAATTTTTCTTCCACTAATAAATCTCTGGAGTTGCAAAGATGTTAAAGAGGACTTTAAAAAAGACCTTTTCAATGAAAGGTAGTCCTTGGCTTACGACCCCAATTGAGCCCTTGCTAAGCAGGACAGTTGTTAAGTGAGTTTTGCCCCATTTTATGACCTTCGTTGCCACAGTTGTTAAGTGAATCACTGCAGTTGTTAAGTTAGTAACGTGGCTGTTAAGTGAATCTGGCTTCCCCCATCGACTTTGCTTGTCAGAAGGTTGCAAAATGAGGATCCAGTGAGTTTGGGACACAGCAACGGCCATAAATATGAGTCAAGACGCTGTCACCGTCATAAATACGAGCCCGATGGCAAGCATCCAGATTTTGATCACATGACCACAGGGATGCTGTGAAAGACGGTCGGAAGTCACTTGTTACTTCAAATGGTTAGTAAACAAATTGTAACTCGAGGACCACCCATACCAGCATGATGGCTTCAGGACTGAGGGGCAAAATCATCTCCCGTTTGTGAATCTACTGGAACCTCACAAGATTTAAACTTTCAGTATTTCCCAGATCTTGCTGTTTGCTATTTCTATTCTTTTCTTCCTGGTCTGGTGTGTCACTTTAATCTTTCTATATCATCTTGTTTGCAATTAGGTGGCATCGTCGTCATCGTTGTCATCATCATCATCATCATCATCATTATTTTTATTATTATACTTTTATTCATTAAACATGAACCTCAGTCAACTGAACATTCAAATTGGCTGGCGCTGATGGTTGACACGGATTGCTACCAGCATCCTAGATGTCAACCAGGTACCTCCTTAAAATATAAGATGTTCCGAGTAGCGCAGTTTTTTGTAACATTGCTGGAGTTATTGCAGGAAGCTGCAGTTTCTTGATGTGTTTTGCAAAGTTTTTGGACATAGTTCCCAGTGCCCCAATGACAATGGGTACCACTGTTACACGTTTCATCCATAATCGCGCAGTTTCGATGGCCAGGTCGCGATATTTCGTAATTTTCCCAGTTCTTTTTCTTCGACTCTGGCATCTCCTGGTACAGCGATATCAATCAGCTGTATGCTTCAGTTCTCTACAACTGTGATATCCGGCGTGTTGTGTTCCAAATGGCGATCTGCCTGTATTCGAAAGTCCCACAAGATCTTCACCCTCTCATTCTCAACATCATCATCATCATCATCATCATTATTATTATCAACATCATCATTTCCCTAAGGTTACACATTTCCTACCATGCAAAGGCCAAGTTGGCTGGGATTTTAAAAACTGGGAAGCTCCACTACTTTATTTGCTGATGACCAAATGAGCCATTTATTGCCAAATTGAAAATGGGTATAAAAAGGGTGGCTGGTCTATTTTAACAGGAGGCTTTGCTAAAATTCTTCCCCTTCTGCCTGTTAATTTTGGACATTAACTTCTCACTGGCCAGTTGTGAGGCTAAATTAGGAAGATGCCAAACCCCAACAGGCATTTAAAACCCAGTCTGAAGAGATTTAAAATCAGATGTGGTTCATTCACAATTTTATTTGTTTACTGGTTCTGTCTGCCAGCACCAATACCGCAACCAATTGTAAAAATTGGAAACAAGAAAAAGAAATTCTCAGGGATAACATCTCCACTTGCTTCGGAGGTATAATGAGCCAGAAGAGATTTTAATTTCCTCTTTTTTCAGACTGCCACAGATAATAAACAAGGGAGCCTGGTCAAAGGCTCTCAGTTACGTCAAAGGCTCTCACAATCCATCAATAGCAGTAACTGCAAGAGGGATCTTGGAATCCCAGTGGACCACCACTTAAATATGAGCCAGCGATGTGTGGCAGTAGCCAAAAAAGCCAATGCAATCCAAAGTTGCATTAACAGAGGGATAGAATCAAGATCACGTGAAGTTCTAGTACCACTTTACAAAGCCTTATTAAGACCATACCTGGAACACTTCATCCAGTTCTGGTCACCACAATACAAAAAAGATGTTGAGACTCTGGAAAGAGTGCAGAGAAGAGCAACAAAGATGATTAGGGAACTGGAGGCAACGGTTGCAGGAATTGGGTATGTCTAGTCTAGTGAAAAGAAGGACTAGGGATAGCAGTGTCCCAATATTTGAGGGGCTGCCGCAAAGAAGAGGGGGTTAACCTATTGTCCAAAGCACCAGAAAGCAAGGCAAGAAACGATGGAAACTAATCAAGGAGAACAGTAACCTAGAACTAAGGAGAAATTTCCTGACAGTGGAATGGCTTGCCTTCAGAGGTTGTGGGTGCTCCATCACAGGAGGTTTTTAAGAAGAGACTGGACAGCCATTTATCTGGAATGGTCTAGGCTAGGGCAGGGGTAGGCAATCTTGGCTCTTTTATGACTCGTGGACTTCAACTCCCAGAATTCTGGGAGCTGAAGTCCACGAGTCATAAAAGAGCCAAGGTTGCCTACCCCTGGTCTAGGGGCTCCTGCTTAGGCAGGGGGCTGGATTAGAAGACCTCCAAGTTTTCTTCCAACTCTGTTATTCTGTTATCCCTAGCAGTCTGGTGCTCCACAAAGGAATTTGGGAGCTGCATTCTCAAACGAGAATGCAACTTTTTACAGTTACAGAATAGGAAGTTCTACTTCTTATTGACACCTGAAATGTTTTATTCTTGGAGTACCTAAGACCCTAATAAGAATAATAAACACCCTAGACTCAACAATTATCAATAAGAAGGACAAAACAGCTGGATAGTGGAGAAAATGACAAAATACAAAGTCCTGCAAACTGAAATAGAACGACTGTGGCAAAAGAAAGCAAAGGTAGTCCCAATAGTCATAGGTGCCATGCCAAAACATCTGGAGGATCACTTGAACAACACCAGCATTGACATCCCAGTCAGTCAATTGCAAAAGTAAATTTCACGTGGAACAGTTTACATCTTGCAACAGTATCTGTAAAACCACCAAACAACAAGACCTGCCTATCCCAAGTCCTTGGGAAAGACTCTGTAAGTGAAAATGCCAAATCCAGTCTAAACATCTGGCTGACTGTGTGACCACCTAGAGAGATAATTTATTAAATTTCTATGCTGCAATTTCTATGCTCACTGATTCTGGGCAGATTTCTGGGTTGCAGTATGTATACATGAAAGTAAACAGAACAGAGCTAGCTGAGAGCTGCAAAGGTGAGCAGGAATGATAAGATTAGTAAATTATTAAAAACAACTGGATAACAATCTCCATGGGAAAGAGGAAAAAAAAACCTTGAGGTTTGTGGCTTTGCTTTGCAAGATTCAGGCTTCCAGTTTTGGATGAGCAGCAGGAGGTAACCAGGATACTGAATTCATAAAGTGCTTTTTTACTTTGATTTTCATAGCCCCCCCAGGGCTTTCAGACTTCCCTTAATTAATTGACTCAATTTAAAGAAAACTCTCTCTCCCTCCCTCCCCTCCCTCGGGAATATACACATACAGCATACATACAAATAAAAATTAACGTGGCTTTGGGTGGTGCCATTTTAAGCGGTGTTTTTAATGCAACCTGCCCTGGAAATTACTGAACAGAACCTGAATCACCAAGCAAAAACTCAGGAATATCAAGACGAAGAACAAAGCCACGTAGTCAGGTGTGGGTTCCTTTGTCACCAAACTCCAAACCTGAGAGCACCTCAGTGTGTAAATGTGTTCCTGATCTGTGCAAAGGTCACACTGCCCTCCCTGCCAAGAAGCAGCATGCTTGGCATCCAGGGGTTTCTGCTGCTAATTGAATTTGAAATTATCAGCTGCAATGAAAGCTATGCCCAAATCCACCCGGCGACAGAGGCTTTCTGTTGTTCTACCGTCTCCAGGATGCCTGGGAATTTCTCTTGGCAGCATTTTTTACCAGACTTTGTTGGAGATGCTGAGGGTGTAACTGTTGTGTTTCCTGTGACGCAACTTTGCATTCCTTCTGGGTACCTACCACACTTGCTAATCTGAAAAACAACAACAACTTTGAATACTTTTCCTTCAGATTCAATTCAAGGACTAAGCCAGGGAGGCTGGAAAGATGGGGCATTCAGAAAACAGCACAGGTAGTCCTCGACTTATGACAGAATAAGATTTGGAAGGGACCTTGGAGGTCTTCTACTTCAACTCCTTTACCATTCCTGACAACTGGCTGTCCAGTCTCTTCTTAAAAACCTCCAGTGTTGGAGCACCCACAGCTGGTTGATTGTTCTCACTGTTTCCATCCATTGTTTCTTGTCCTGGCTTCAGGTGCTTTGGAGAATAGCTTGACCCCCTCATCTTTGTAGGAGCCCCTCAAATATTGGAAGACTGCTATCATGTCTCCCCTGGTCCTTCTCTTTATTAGACTAGACAAGCCCAATCCCTGCAACCTTCTTCCTATGTTTCAGCATCCAGCCCCATAATCATCTTTGCTGGTCTTCTCTGCACTCTTTCCAAGGTCTCAACATCTTTTTCATATCATGGTGACCAAAACTGGATTCAATACTGTACAACAAACACAATCCGAACCAGAATTTCCATTGCTAAGCAAAGCAGTGAGTGAGTTAAGGTGCAACTTAAGTGAGTTACACCTAATTTTAAGGGTTTTTTTTGCCATGGTTGTTAAGTGGATCAGTATAGTCCAGGGGTAGGCAACTGTAGCTCTTTTATGACTCGTGGACTTCAACTCCCAGAATTCCTGAGCCAGCTGTGCTGGCTCAGGAATTCTGGGAGTTGAAGTCCACGAGTCATAAAAGAGCCAAGGTTGCCTACCCCTGATATAGTCAATAAGTGAATCGTGTGGTCATTAAGTGAATCCATCTTCTCCCACTAACTCTGCTTGTCTGAAGCCGGCTGGGAAGGACGCAAGTGGCGATCACATGACCACATAATCCTACAACTGTTGTAAATACAGATGTAAATACAGCCCTGAAATTAAGACCACAATGGAGCCCCAAATTTCTTTTGCAAAGTGAGACAACATTTGTTAAGTGAGTTGTGCCCCATTTTACAACTTTCTGGCCACAGTTATTAAGTGAATCACTGCAGTTGTTACGTTAGTAACACAGTTGTTAAGTGAATCCGGCTTCCCCACTAACTTTGCTTGTTCAGGTCACAAAAGGGGAACACGTGACTCCGGGATGCTGCAACCGTCATAAATATGAGCCAGTTGCCAAGCGTCTGAATTTTGGTCACATGACCATGGGGATGGTGCAATGGTCATAAGTGTGAAAAACGGTAATAAGTCACTTTTTTCAATGAGGTTTGTAACTTTGAACTGTCACTAAATGACGTTTTAAGTTAAGGACTACCTGGCAACATGCTGGTTGCCAAGAGCCCAAACACTGATCTCATGACTGGGGATACTGCAATGGTCATAAGTGTGAGAACTCGCCACTATTTTCAGTGCCATTGTAACTTTGAAAACAAATGGTTGTAAAATGAAATTCAGTGGTGAAAAAAGTAAGGTTCTGCATTTAGGCAAGAAAAACCAAATGTGCAGGTATAGTATAGGGGGTACCTTGCTCAACAGTAGTAACTGTGAGAGGGATCTCGGAGTCCTAGTAGACAATCCCTTAAATGTGAGCCAGCAGTGTGCTGCAGCTGTCAAAAAAGCTAACACAGTGCTAGGCTGCATTAACGGAGAGATAGAATCAAGATCACGTGAAGTGTTAATACCACTTTACAAGGCCTTGGTAAGGTCACACTTGGAATACTACATCCAGTTTTGGTCACCACCATGTAAAAAAGATGCTGAGACTCTAGAAAGAGTGCAGAGAAGAGCAACAAAGATGATTAGGGCACTGGAGGCTAAAGCATATAAGGAAAGGCTGCTGGAATTGGATATGTCTAGTCTAATGAAGAGAAGGACGAGGGGGGACATGATAGCAGTGTTCCAATATCTCAGGGGCTGCCACAAAGAAGAGGGAGTCAAGCTATTCTCCAAAGTGCCTGAAGGCAGGACAAGAAGCAACAGGTGGAAACTTAGCAAGGAGAGAAGCAACCTGGAACTAAGGAGAAATTTCCTGACAGTTAGAACAATTAATCAGTGGAACAACCTGCCTCCAGAAACGGTGAATGCTTCAACACTAGAGGTTTTTAAGAAGAGACTGGACGGCCATTTGTCTGAAATGGTATAGGGTTTCCTGCCTGAGCAGGGGGTTGGACTAGATGACCTCCGAGGTCCCTTCCACCACCACCATCATTATTACTATTATTACTATTATTATTATTATGTCAAGAATCACCTGTATCTCACACCCCTCCCAGGCACCCTCCAATTAAATCAATCCAGGCATGGCCCAGTCCACCTCTGAAAGGCCGAAATGCTCTTACCTCTGAAACAAATTTGACAAGAGAATTTTTTTTTTCATCAAACTGAGAAATGGCAGGAGAAAATTAAGAGATAATTTTGCAACATGGCACTAAACGTAATGAGTTTTGTTCAAGAAACAGCATGGATAGTTCAAGGTTTCTGCAAACTGCAAGTATTTTATTTGTCATATTTTATCTGTCATTGGTCAGTGATTGTAATACTTTCACACACCATTCCCCCCCCAAAGGGAATTCATTTCAAACATCTTATTTTCCTCCACTCTCCCTAAAAGTTTCTAAGTTAAATACTGTTCAAGACAATTTTTTTTTTTTTTGCTGGACAAAGATCAGAAGCGTTTGAGACAAAGATGAACACAAAATTGGCTGCAAATTACAAACCTTTAAATCTGTGTGTGTACACAACAGTTGTAAGAGCAGAGATTGTCAGCTGAAGAAGCCGACAATGATTTCAAAGTGTGAATCAGGGCTGGGGGTGTGAGGTTAGGGTACATGCAAGCAAGCCACTGCCAAAAAAAACCCGCTGATGTATATATATATTTTTTTTGGGGGGGGGAGAAAAAGAAAAGCAACTACACACACTAATATTCAACCCAAGCACCTGGTACTAAATCCATGTAGGAAAGGTTTCTATGCGAAAAAGCAGGTTTTTGTCGCTTTTTTAGCTACTCTAAAAACAATGAAGAACAACATCAAATTATAGGACACAAATCCTCTGGAGGTATTTCCTCAAGCTAACACCTTGGCTTCCATCATCCAAAAAGCAAGGCAAAAAATAACCAGCAAAATCAGCTAATTTTCTGCTAGAAAACAAAGAAACATTCTCCTAAATTGTTTGCCCCTAAATACTACCATCAAAGCAAGAAAACCTCTTTAACTAATCGGCTGCTGCCTTCTTCAATCTGATCTATTCAGATGCGTTGGGACTTCAAAGACGATGCTGCACAGCCGGCCTAGCCTTCTGAGTGGGAGGTTCAAGTTCTAAGAGGTTTCAGATTGAGGAAGGACCACCCAGAGGGTCCCCTCTTTTGAGGAGGTGGGCCAGTTCCGATTTCTTCCTCTTCTGACGAGATCTTTCTAAGATACTTTGAGTATCCCACTCAGTTAAAAAAAATCAAATTGTAAATCAAGACCTAAATGTCTGCTTTCCTCCTAGCCCAAACACTATGACTTTCCCACTTACTAATTTGTTTACTTTGAAAATCATGGTGCTATTTTTTTTTTATTTAAAAAAAAGGGTTTAATCTGGCCACTTTGGAACCCTGTTTTCAATTACACAATCTGCAAAAACTCATCGGGCTTGGCTACTCTTAAGTTGTTGAACACCGTCCAATAGTCCTCTTCAGTCAACATGGCTTTAGAACTCCCTCTAGGAGTTGACCACGTGTCCCGACCACGTCTCATGTTTCGTGCCCGGGGCTAGGTGAGTGATGTTGACCTCTACAGCTTGGAGCTTCTCATTCTTTGGCGGAATGGAGCACACCTTGTAGGTGACTTCATCACCAGATACCGGGACATATTCTCCTTCAATACTGTAAGAAAAGGAAAGAAGATTGTAACGACTTCAATAGGAGGGAACCAGCTCTCCCAATCCACCACCTCCATCAGGTCCATGGAGATTCTCAGTCATCCAGGTCATGGTTGTCCCAAAGCTGTTTTTTTAAAGAGGCAATTGGACTTTCTTTGTTTTTTCTTAAAGATGTTTCACTTCTCATCTTAAGAACACAGAACTCTTGAAATATCTCTTCCAACAGGTATCTTTATTAAGAGAACATGGTTGCAGGTGTTCTAGACAGGACCTGAAGCCCCATTCCTACCATTCAAGGTTTTAAGTGTTCCCAAGCAGCCCCCCACCCCACCGTCCTTCCAGCGACAATCCCAGGTGTTACATTTCCACCCCCTTTTCCTCACGGCCGGCGGAAGGGAGACTTCAGAGAGGAGTAGATGAAAGCTGATGGGCCCTATTGTTATGGTCAGTCCTTTTGGTGAGATCCACATTCAGTCCCTTTGAAGTTGTAAGGAAGGAAGTGAGAACCATAAAACCCCTTTGCTCATCCCCCTTCCCCTTCGTAGTATGACAGAATCCAGAGAGGGCAGAAATGGGGTTTTCTATAGTCGATAACTAGAGATGAAATATAATTGGATTCTGACAGGACACCTCCATTAGGTTTAGCTTCGTCTCATCCACCATCCAATCCACCCAATGTACCACAAAACTAAGATCAATCTTCTGGCCCAATCTGAACACCAGAATATGAAAAGAGCTCTGGAGCTGGATTAAGGCCATGAGCCCAACTGCTCCAAGGAGAGGTAACTTGGTGTCCACAGAAGTTTTGGGTTTTCCCAGCTAGCCCAGCCAACAGAGTCAATGACAAAGAAATGTGGAAGTTGTGATCCAAACATCTGGAGGATCCCAAATAACCTATGCCTCATCCATTCAAATTCTTTGCCTTGAAGTGATCAACCAGGGTTATTCAGAAACCCCAGAAACATTGACGGGAATATGATTATTTTTTTCACTGTTGCCCTGGAGTGGCAACGAGGAAAACTATTGTTATTTCAAGGAACATCGTGAGATGTTTTGATTCCCCTTCATTTGATGAAAAGTAAAGACGCTTAGAGCTCATTTTGAGCTACTCTGCTTGTTTTTCACTTTTGCTCGCTGGATAAAGGAGAAAAGATTCCCCTCCCCTCCATCAGAGAAGGGGGGGATGGAATCTCCACATAGCTTCAAAGCTTTTCTCACTGAGAAAGCCTCAGACTTTTGATTCCCATTCCAGACTCATGAGCCAGCCAGTCAAGTTCAGATCTTGCAGTCTGCTGATCAGACCTTGGACCACAAAATCCTGGTGCCAGGTTTTGATTAAAAAAAAATAATTGCGGGGTTGTTGTTATTAGTGAGAGCTTCTACAAGGAACCTAGCGTTAGGTGTATTTCTGCTCTTGTTATTAAGGAGTTCCTAGCAGCTTGAAAGAGATTTGGGTATCGTAACATACTTATGTTATGATTTTCAATGGTTTGCTTCAGCTAATAATAAAGTTCAAAATCCCTTTGTCTGCTGGAGGGTTTATTGTCTCTGGAGCCAAAAGAAATAATTGGCTGGGCACCTGATTGCTGCCCTGACACTTGGCAAAACATGCCCTCAAAGACTGGCACTTAAAGCCCCTTGCATGCCGATCGGGAACAGCCGCCACGCCTTCTTCCTAGCCATTTCGTGACCTCTTTTAAAACCGTCTTGCTGACAGCACATTCGCTCTTGACTCGGACCCTTGTAGAGAACAACTTCCTCTTATCGGCTCCCAGAATGATTTCCAGCGGCTGAGCGTGTTGTTCTAAAACTGGAAGAGGGAATGCATTTCTATCCACGTGTCCTACTATGTGCGTGGATTTATTTATCTTTAACTCCCTTGTACTTTTGATCTAAATTACAAAGCACCAGCACTTTTTTCCACAGAGGATCTGCTCTCAACCTGCTTATTATTTTGATTGCTTCTTTTTTCTTCCCTTCCCTCTTTTCTCCTTGTTTTGCTGGAGAAACAACTCAAATTATCCCCTGTGTTCCTTCTATGGGCACGTGATGAGATGTAGAGGAAGGCGGTTTATTTTCAACCCACTTCCCAACGTTACCTTGGTTGACTTTTGCACTGACCTCTTCAATGTGGTTTCAAGACTGAATCCTGATCGTTCCCAACAGCTCAGATCCCACCAATGAAATGAAAACATACCGAGTTTGAACCCCACCAATCCACCCCTCTGGTAGCGTTGCTCTTGTCCAACTAAGTTTCCCTACAGATAGTCCTTGACACACGACCACAATTAGGATCAAAACTTCCATTGTTAAATGATGTGGCCATTAAGCGAGTCCCCCCCCCATTTTACAACCTTTTGGGGCCACGGTTGTTAAGCGAATCTGGCTTCCACCATTGACTTCGCTTGTTGGAAGGCCCCCCCCGGAAGGTTGCAAATGACCATCACGTGACCACGAGATGCTGCAATGGTGGTTAAGAGTGAGGATTAGTTGTAGGTCACTTTTTTAAAATCATCATCATAACTCTGAATGGTAATTAAAGAAATGGTCCTAAGTTGAAGGGCAGCACGGTGGTCCAGTGGTGAAGACGGAAAGCTGGCAGCCCCGGTTCAAGACCCGAGCGCCACAAAACGGGGCGAGTTCCCGTCCTCGCTCCAGCTCCTGCCCACTTAGCAGTTCAAAAGAATGCAAACGCGAGTAGATAAATAGGTACCCCTTCCGTGGGAAGGAAACAGAGCTCTGTGACATCACGCTGTGGAAATGTCTGACTGCGGAAATGTCTCTGGACAGGTCTGGCTCAACGGCCTTGAAGATTGGAGATTAGCAGCGCCCCCTATAGGCGGCAACGATTAGTGGAGTAAAATCTGCAGGGACTCCTTTACCTAAGTTGAAGACTACCTGCATTTTGAATTATGCCACAGCTAGAAAGCAAGAGGACTAGCACCCTGTTTCCCAAAGGAGGTTTGCTTACTCAGAAATATGGACGAAGATCTCTGGGCCTCCATCGCCAGGGGTGATGAAACCGTGGCCCTTGGATCGGCAGAAGCATTTACACACCCCACTGTAGGTGGGCCCTTCAGCGGCTCGCGTCGTCCTACAGAGAAAGACAAAATATTTTATTTAAAGGAAGTTCTAACTCCATCATTTTGTTCTAAGCTGGCTAGGCTTCCTACCAGTTTCGAAGCTTCTGCTCTCCAAAATTTAGCTTTAGTTTTACATAAAAGCCATCCCCATTCAGTGGGTTTTACAAGGGCAAAAGCTGGCTTCCTAAATATCTCGGGAATTGTTTTTCAAAGTCAAGTATCTCATCCTTGGCCTTGAAAATGGGTAGACGAGCCTGCTGGATCTCAGAAACCCTGAACATCAACAGAGAGACAGACATGGAGTTCTGCGGGATTTAGCCAAGGAAGAGAATTCTACCAAAGGAGGAAGAATTCTAAAAATGAGCTGTAGAAGTCAGATTTTGTATACTGAACGATAGAGAAGCTGGTTCCAGATAGGTTTAGACTGAAAAAAGATTTGGGTTTTCGGTGAATACCCCAACTGCACCAGACGGGATGGTTGAGAGAGGAAGGGAAGTAGGTAGAGAGGGAGGAAGGAGGAGAGGTAGTAGATCCGGGGGGGGGGGGGGGGGGGGGGGGGGGGGGGGGGGGGGGGGGGGGGGGGGGGGGGGGGGGGGGGGGGGGGGGGAGGGTGTGGAAAGTGAAAGAGGGGGGTGCAGGGGGGGACACCGTACACTTCCGTGAATGTATTGAATAGTGTTATTTTCTTTTTTGGTTGATATTGTGACTAAATGCATCATATTTTTGTGATTGTTTTTAACTGAAAAATTAATAAAAATTTCTAATAAAAAAAAAAAATATTTGGGTTTTTAAGGCAGAAACACACACTTTTATAAGGGGCTTGCATGGATGACACAGAAGAGCAAAGGTGTGTTCCATCACAAAACCAATTCAGAGATTCTCACGGTAGGGCAGATAGCCATAATCCTCAGATGACATCTAATCGACAACAGTCGTAAGTCATGTTGCTCATTTTGCAACCTTTTTTTGTGGCGGTCATTAACTGAACACCATGTTTGTTAAGTGAACCCATTGTTTCTATGGGCTGCTTTTTAATGGAAACCAGAAGTAAAGAGATATGGTGGGTTTTAAATTGTGGATATTTAACTGGATTTTAATGCTGTATCACCCAGAGCTCCTGGCCATGAGGTGACAGCTCTATAAATTTGTTTAATAAATAAGTAAATAAAATAAAACTTGAGCATAAACACAGTACAGAAATGTGAAGAAAAGCCTGCAAACATTATTGCAATCTTTTTTTAAAAAAAACCCTCAAATAAAATGTATAGCTAGACCAAGCATTAAAATCAGAAAATGAGAAAGGGGGGAAATACTCAGAATCAACTGTCCAATCCATCATTTGTCACTAACATCTGGCTTTGACACCCACCGAGTTCCATGTTCTTCCTGAAATGTTGCATACATGTGGACTACAAATTCTGGTCTACCTAACTCAATGCAGCTTGGAAAGAAAGAATCAGAATCTGGCTGGCAACTGTTGGCTCATCCTTCAGAATTAACAGTATAACTGAGTTGGAAGGGACTTTGGAGGTCTTCTAGTCCAACCACTTTCTCAAGCAGGAGACCCTCTACCATTCCAGACATCTGGCTGCCCAAACTCTTCTTATAAACCTCCAGTAATGAAGCACCACAACTTCTGGAGGCAAGCTGTTCCACTGATTAAAGGGGAAACAAGGGGGAACTTTGAGTTACGAGCTCTTGCTTGGACTTGTGGCTACACCTGGCTGAGAGTTTGGAGCTTCTCTCTCACCTTGACTTACTGGACCGAAGTGGTTCTGATGCCATGGAGATTCCAGGGTGGTTGCACACCCTTCCTACCAACTAGGAGTGGGAGAAGCTGGGAACAGCTTGACTCCCATGTCCTTCTCCTTCCCTCCTGCTCACCACCTCCCTCCCTTGCACAACTTTTGAGCTTCTGGCCTGGATGCAATTGTGACACAACCACCTGTGGCTGAGTCATGTGTGCTTCTCACTTGGTCTGATGTCACAGTCACTGGTGGGTGCAAATCCCTTTCGGAGCACTAGCAAATGAATCGTTACTAGGTTGGTCATAAGATGATGCCTTCATTTGGACCAGCCAAAACGGTGCAAAAGGGATTACAATAGGGTTTCTCTACCTTGGCTACTGTAAGACATGTGGACTTCAACTCCCAGAATTCCCCAGCCAGCAGTTGCCTTCCAGCTTCTGATTCCTCCTCTTCAAGTGCATTGAGTTAGGTGGACCAGAATTTATGGTCCACGTTTAAGACATTTCAGGAAGAACATGGAACTCGGTGGGCGTCAAAGCCAGCTGCCAGTGGCACTCCATCCTAACTATTCCCCACTGTCTCCCCAAACTCTTTGCCAATTTTAACCACACCCATCCTGCAATGTCATATCCTAAATGCCCCGCCCTCAAGGACATCAGGTACACACAGGAGGGACCCCTCCCCAAGTTGAAAATGCAGGCCCTTCCCGCCCAAACCTAAGTAGGTTTTATTAATTCATTTTTAAAGGCTTAAAATAATATAAAAGTGGTCAACTTATCATATACAAAAGGAACATTACACAAGAATATGCATGAAATAAAGTATAAAAACTGTAATTACAACTGTTTCCAAGTTCACCCGATTTTGTAAGTCTTTAAAAAGAAAAATTAACCTTTCGCCTTAACCAGGTTTGTTCACGAATCTTTTCCAAATGGAGAGATGTGACATTTTTTTTGATTAACCAAATATATAAAGTTCTCAAAAATGGCATAATCACCCATCTCTGCAGATCAATCCTTTATATTTGGAATTATAGTATTTTTCCATCTCTTAAGGATTGGGTGGTTTTTTTTGCTATTGTTATATCATAAAAAATTCATCTTTATTGTGAAGATGTTAAATTCCAAGCAGTTGGTATCCAGGACAATTCGTCTCTCTTTAAAAACCAGGGTTTTTTTTCACTATCTTTGTCAAGATATTGCATAATAATACAGGTAGTCCTCGACTTATGATCACAATTAAGCCCAAAATTTCTGTTGTTAAATGAGATAGTTGTTAAGTGAATTTTTGTACATTTTATGACTTTTTTTTGCCAGTTATGTGAATCACTGCAGTTGAGTTAGTAACACAGTTGTTAAGTGAATCCGTCTTCCCCATTGACTTTGCATGTCAGAACGTCACAAAAAGCGATCACATGACCCCAGAATGCTGCGACCATCATAAATACGAATCAATTGCCAATCATCTAAATTTTGATCACATGACAGTGGGATTCTGCAACGGTTGTAACTGTGAAAAAATGTCATAAGTCACTTTTTTTCAGTGCTGTTGTAACTTTGAACCGTTACTAAACATACTGTGTTGTACGTCGAGGACTACCTGCTCTCCAAAAGGGGTCTAAGAAAGAACATGACCACAACAGATGTTAAACACCTCTCCAATTTCTTGCAACACCAGCATCAATGATCATTTCTTCATCCTTTGTGAAACATTCTAGATCAAGGCTTTTCAGCCAGTGGTACGGGTACCACCTGTGGTACCACCTGGCAGGTGGTACGCGACCATCCTAGAAAAGTGGTAGCGGGGGAAGGGAATGAGCTGAACTGGTGGCAGCACCGCACAAGCCTGAGCGAGAGATGGCTGGAACTGCAGGGCTGTCAGGGCTCAGCGGAAGCGCCAGGATCAGCGCCAGGATCCAGCTGGAGCTCAGCGCTGATCCTGGTGCTTCTGCTGAGCCCAGAAGAAGCGCCGATCAGCTGGAATGTTGCAGCCTCTCCAGGGTCTTGTGATTTACATTCAGATGCTTGGCAACTGATTCATATTTATGACCGTCACAGTGTCCCAGGGTCATGTGAAGTGACCAAAACCTGCTGCAACCACACAGCAGATGGGTGGAATAAAAACCAAACACCCCCCACCCCACCCCCACTGCCAATCCTCAGCAGAAAACCTCGGACAGGAGGAAGAGCGCTGCTGGGTGGGCAGGCAGGTGTCTTGCTCGGCTGTGGCTTGGGGGGGGGCTTTTTTCAGTGCCATTGTAACTTTGAACAGTCACTAAGCGAAATGTTGTAAGTTGAGGACTACCTGTACTTCATCACTTTTTTTCTTTTTGGGGGGGTCATCAAGTTTTTGACACCTTGCTAGGTGACTGGTGGTACTCGGATACTGCCATATCCTAAAAGTGGTACAGTGGGTGAAAAGGTTGAAAAGCCCTGGACTAGATGGTGTCCAGTTTAATATGAAAAACAACCTTTTAATTTCAAACCGCAGGCCGTAAACTCATCATTCTTAAGGTGCCCTCCTTAATGCAAGTCATATCTGCAGAGCCCTCCAACGGAAGAGCATCCAAGGGACACTTCGGTTGTTAGGAAAATACGGTGCCCACTGAAACCTGTGAGAAGTTTTATATCAAAATATATTTTATACTGTTTCCATTTTCCCTTAAAACATTAACAGAATCCACAACGGTCTGAGAATCAGCGTCTCCACTAGATAATTGATAGTCAAGCTGAAACTAAATCAATCAAGTAAAAATAGCAAACGGGGGGGGGGGGGGAAGCTCTTACTCAAACTTCCTCAACCCCCCCCAATAAGTTACCCAGACCTAATCCACATATCAAAAGAAAACGGCTGCAAACACAAACAGAGTTAATTAAATTAGGTTTCCCAGAGGAGCTGCATGTTCACAAGAATACACACTTAAAGATACACACATGGCCCTCAGGTGTCACCCTAGAATCAGCACGTAGTAGACCAGTGGTTCTCAACCTGTGGGTCGGGACCCCATTTGGGGTCGATCGACCATTTCACGGGGGTCGCCAAGCAAGGCTGTCCGCCATTTTTTTTGTCCGCCATTTTTTTCCCCTTTTCCGGCGGGTGCCTTACCTCCCTTGGGCTGGGCCAGCTGGTGGTCGGCCTGCTCCGTCTCTGCCGCTTGCCAGCTATGCCTCGGCCGGCGCAGGGGGCAGAACCACGCATGCACGGCGCTCCCGGGCAGGGAAAGTCCTCGACTTACAACCGGTTGGGTAGTCCTCGACTTACGACCGGTTTAGTCCTCGACTTACGACCGGTTTAGTCCTCGACTTATGACCGGTTTAGTCCTCGACTTACGACCGGTTGGGGTCGCGGCATTAAAAAGGTTGAGAACCACTGTAGTAGACCTTTCACACCCTGCACAAGCTCCCCCTATAAAAGTCTGCTGCTGCACCCCACTTCTCTGCAGCTGCCCCTAAAGGCAAACTCCTTGCTTTTAGGAACAAATATTTCTTCTTTCCTCACAGCTATCTGGATCTCATTTTCATTTATTCTTGCATGGCCCTGTCTCAAGTTGGAACCTCAAATTATATTTCTGACAAACTATACTATTTCGCGATGGGCAAGGATTCCCTAGATACCTCCTCATCCTACCCACCCATGGTCTCCCTTCCTCGCCTCCCTACTTACGCTGAAAACGTGCGGTTCCTCCGAGTGGGAAGTGGGCTTGGGATGAGATAACCTCTCATGGGGGAAGGAGAACGTTCTCTGGTCCGGCGACCTTCTGGCAGATGGAGTGCCCTAGGAGACGGGGACCGTTTGTGGGCCGAAGTTGAATCTGAAGACATTTTGGAGACAGCCAGTGGGAAGCTGAAAAGAAAGAAGACAGCACTTTAGGCCAGGGCTTTTCAACCTTTTCACCCATTCTACCACTTTTAGGATATGGCAATATCCGAGTGCCACCAGTCGCCTAGCAAGGGGTCAAAAACTTGATGACCCCCTCAAAAGAAAAAAAGTGATAAAGTACAGATAGTTCTCAACTTACAACAGTTCGCTTAGTGACTGTTCGAGTTACAATGGCACTGAAAAAAGTGCCCCCTAAGCCACAGCTGAGCAAGACACCTGCCTGGCCGCCCGGTGGCGCTCTTCCTCCTGTCCGTGGTTTCCATTGTTGTGAGCATTTCTGTTGAGGATTGGCAGCGGGGGTGGGGTGGGGGGGTGTTTGGTTTTTATTCCCCCCATCTGCTGGGTGGCTACAGCAGGTTTTGGTCACTTCACATGACCCTGGGACACTGTGACCGTCATAAATACGAATCAGTTGCCAAGCATCTGAATGTAAATCACAAGACCCTGGAGATGCTGCAACATTCCAGCTGATCGATGCTTCTTCTGGGCTCAGCAGAAGTGGCAGGATCAGCGCCGAGCTCCAGCTGGAGCCTTGCGCTGATCCTGGTGCTTCCACTGAGCCTTGAAAGCGCTGCAGCTCCAGCCGTCTCTCGCTCAGGCTTGTACGGTGCTGCCACCGATTCAGCTCATTCCCCTCCCCCACTACCACTTTTCTAGGATGGTCGCATACCACCTGCCGGGTGCCAATGTACCACAGGTGGTACCCGTACCACTGGTTGAAAAGCCCTGCTTTAGGCCACCTGAATCCATTCCAGGACACTTTGCTCTCTTGTTGAGCTTGCTTGGCCCCAAGCAGGATTCTGCACCAGATGAGAAGATAAGATAAGATAACCTTTATTGTCATTTTTATACTGTGGGCACAATGGCACACATCAAAAATGAAATTTAGTTGCCCGCTCTCAAAGTGAAACACATACATGACACACACCTAAACATACTATGAACAACATACAGTATGTATAGACCCACATCCCTATATATACGTAGCAAATAAATATTAAATATTGTCCATCTTGAATATATAACGGAAGGAGGAAGCTTGAGAGTTCACAAGGTTAATGCTGTATGGAATGAAACTCTGGCTCAATCTGGATGTTCTGCTTCGGATACCACGGAGCCCCCTCCTCCCAGAAGGGAACAAGGGAAACAGGTCGTGAAGAGGGGGTGTAGTGTCCCAGATAATCTTGCGGACCCTGCTCAAGCAACGCTTCTGTGCCATGTCCTGGATGGGAGGGAGGGAACAGCCAATGATCTTTTCGGCCATTCTCACCACTCTCTGCACCGCCTTCCTGTCTGAAGCAGGGATGCCTCCAAACCAGACTGTGATGCTGTATGACAGGATGCTCTCAATCGTCCCCCTGTAGAAAGTGGTCAGGACAGGGGAAGGAAGATGTGCTTTTCTCATGTGGCGCAGAAAATGCAGGCGCTGCTGTGCCCACTTCACCAGTTTCTCACTGTTGAGGGACCAAGTCAGCCTACTCATTAGCTGCACACCCAGGAATTTGATGCTAGTAACCATCTTCACAGGTGAATCATTTATGCACAGAGAAGTGTGGCTGTGCCTGCCTTTTCTGAAATCGACAATGATCTCTTTGGTTTTTCCGGTATTTAAAACTAGGCTGTTTTCCTTACACCAGTTCACCAACCCTTCAACCTCCTTGCGGAACACCAGAAAGAGCTGTACATTCATTTTCTCAGCAGTTGTAAAAAGTGATAAGCCAAATATGGAGCCTTTGGTCACACAAAGGCAGGATACCCTCCAGCTGCTGAAGCCAGGAAAGAAACCAGGGTTGCTCTCAAGAAAATCATACTTTTTCGTGGGCTCCCTAGCAAAATTTCTCTGCAAAATTCACGGACAACCCTTGGTAGCCCCACTCCTGGGGACTCCAACGCAACCTGCTGCTCTTGAAGGAACCCGTCTTTCTCTGAAGGAGAAAATCAAATTTTCACTGGTTAAATGAAGGCCTCACTATCCAAAAATGTAATGGAAAACAAAATAAGCTTTTGACTCAAGAGGCACAATTTGCACCCAGGTTAAATCAATTCAATTCAAGTTATGGTCATAGACCAGTTCAGATAATAAGCAAAATAAAGTTTAAGACGGAATTAAGATGTAAAACAATCTAACATCTATAAGTGAGGTCCAAGAGACAGGCTATATTAAATTACAGTATAATATAAAAAAGTAAAACTGTAAACACTAGAATTACAGTAAATATAATAACATCTAAAATTGCAACAAAGAAATTGTATCTAAAACTATCAGTAAATTCTTACTGGTGCATTTTATCTCACTGTCCTAGCCACAGAAAATGCCCTTTTTGATTACACTTGAGTCAAACCAATGATGTGAACATCATCCAGAGTAAACAGCAAGCAACTCCTGTGTCGGTAGGAGTCGAGGGGTCTTTTGCACTAAAATTAAAAGTAAAAATGAAACAATCTGGATGTTTCTGGACACATGGCATTCCTGAAAACCAAGGGGGTGGGACTACTGTACCCCAAGAGCTTTAGGGAGGGCACCAATCACTTGGGGGGGGGGGGGAGAGGCAAAGTCAAGATTTCTCAACCTGGGCCTCTTTTAAGATGTGTGGACTTCAATTCCCAGAATTCCCCAGCCAGCAATGTTGATGGTTTAGCCCAGGGATCTCCAAATTTGGCAACTTTCAGACTTCAACTCCCAGAATTCCTCAGCCAGCCATGTCATTGTTTAGTGCTTACTGTTTTAAATTACAAAATGAAATTCATGAGGACCTTACTGAGAAAAGAATGGTCCCCATGCTGGCTAGGGAATTCTGTGAGTTGAAGTCCACAAGTTTTAAAGTTGCCAAGTTTGGAGAACCCTGGTTTAACCAACCATAGCTTACAATGTTATGCAAGCCATTCTTTCAAAAACCAACAGAGAAAGTAAGACTCTTACCAGGATTCTTTCTTGGGGGGGGGGGGGGAGAAACCTGTTTAAAACTGAACATGAATCAAGACAATCAGAAAATGTCAAATCCACACAAGTGTTCCGCCCTCTCCATTCTTCCCATTATGTACACAGAAACCCATTATTGACGCAATGTTTTCCATGGCATCTCAGTAAGTCAAAAGAAGAAAGGAAGGCGGCGGGGGGGGGGGGGGCTTGTGAAAATTTTCCATTCTGTTTTCAAGAGTGAAAAAATAGTATTTAAAGCAATCCCTGTCCTGGAGTCTTTTGCTCTATCCAGAGAACGTTTCTCAACCTCGGCAACTTTAAGATGGGTAGAATTCGATTCCCAGAAATTCCCGACTCAGGAGTTGTGCATTAACTGTAGCCCTCTGTTCTGTCAAGTTACAAACCCCAATCTGTGGAACGAAACTAAGCTGTCATTCCCACCCAAGGATTTGGGCAAATGGCACAAAGCAAACTTGAAGCCAACATTCTCCGTCTGACACACACACACACACACACACACACACACACACACACCCGTGGGTAGAAGCTCAGCTGGCAACTCATGACCAATACCCAGGAGCATCAGGGAAGAAAGAGGCTGTATTGGAAAAGAAAATGGCAAAATTTGTTTAAAAGACTTAGAAAATGAAATAGGTGACCCAAGAAAGGCTGTGTGGTCACTGCAGGCACCGCTGGTTTGACTTGGCCCAGCGCGTTATGTGAACCCACCCACCCACTGGGCATTTTCTGAGCCAAAGACCCACCTGGTCTTTTTTGGGCTGGGTGCCCAAAATAACAAGGTCAAAACTGAATAAAATGTCAGCTCTCCTCCAATGGAAGAATTGGGATTTGACAATGAGGCCTGTTTGATTATAGAGAGGAGGTTTTTAAAAAAAACATATATTTGTAAATTGTATCAAAGAAGGTTGGACGTTTCTTTTTCTATTTCCCTTCCTTTTATTCCTTGCACTTTTCTCTCACTAGTTCTTTCATTTTTTTTTCTGATATTTCATCTTTTGTGGAAATTCAATGACACTGTATTTATATATATATATGTGTGTGTGTGTGTACTGTGTGTGATTTACATTCCATAAAAGCAGAAGGCTGTTCCTATATTGAACAGGAACTCTCTTCTGTTGCCTTTAAAATGACACTGCCTGTAAAAAAAACCCACAAAAACCAGCAGTGGCTGCCATCTTGACTTTTTTGAATGCCTGCAAGCCACCCCTGCAATTAGTAATTGATATTGGCCCTCCCTCTTTAGGATGAGCCGTGGTGGCGCAGTGGTTAGAATGCAGTATTGCAGGCTAATTCTGCTGACGGCCAACTGCCTGCAGCTCAGCAGTTCGATTCTCACCAGCTCAAGGTGGACTCAGTCGTAAAATGAGGACCCAGATTGTTGGGGGCAACAGGCTGACTCTGTAAATTGCTTAGAGAGGGCTGTAAAGCAGTATGAAGCAGTATATAAGTCTGTGTGCAGGAAGGAAGGAAGGAAGGAAGGAGCAAGCCATGGTGTCGCAGTTATTAGAATGCAGTACTGCAGGCTAACTCTGCCCACAGCCTGGAGTTCGATCCTGACCGGCTCAAGGTTGACTCAGCCTTCCATTCTTTCGAGGTCGGTAAAATGAGGACCCAGATTGTTGGGGGCAACAGGCTGACCCTGTAAACCGCTTAGAGAGGGCTGTAAAGCACTGTGAAGCGGTATATAAGTCTGTGTGCTATTGCTATAGGCTTTCAAGCCTTCTGGAGTCTCTGATTTTGCGGATGTAGCAAACGGCGGCCTGGACAATAAGGAAAGTCTGCTTTTCCTTGAGTGCATCGGCCTGCAAGACAAAATTGCCCCTATGTCATTTGCATTGTCTGCCAAGTTTCCATCCCACCTCCTTTCAATAAAATTCTCAGTTGCTAGATCTCTTGAAGCAGTCAAATGAACCGTCGTTAACAGACGGCACCATTTCAAACTGAAGGTGGGATGCTGCTTTATTTTGGAACATAAATTGCATAATGTGTGTTTTATCCAATGTGTACGTACATCACACGTAGA